GCCTATCAAAGTCCACTTAAACAACTAGAATATATTACATGCCCTTCTACACCATCCCATGTTTGATCCCATTTTTCCAACTTTTAGTCATGGACACAATTCATGGTCAACAAAAATTCTTTTCATCACTCCTTCTTTCAGACTTAGCGTAAGCCCACATCCACTTAAAGCTACGAAGAAGGCCAAGAACAGTCGCTCAATCACAAGGTAGCTGGTTACCGGGCAAAATAGCTCGTCGATAAGACTTTGCAACAGTAAATGTAGCGATTGCTAATGCGGAAGGCGTACGGAGTGGAGCGCTGAAGACGTCACTCAAAATAGGGGGAAAAGCGAAGTAGTTCAATTTTGTAAATGCCTGCGTCAATAACGGTTACTTTGGTACTTATCCTATCCTTCTGCTCTAGTCAGACCCTCCTGTCAAACCAAAGTCGCATCTCTCCCCTTTCCTTCCCGTATACATGTGTTCATCTCCTGTTTGTGCCTTCTTCTTCCTTGTGGGTTGGGGCTTTGGAATTGCCCAAAGATAAGACTCTCACCAGAACTAATGTGGTCGAAAGTATTATCATTTATGCAGAGTTAAACCAATTGCTTAAGTGATGCGTTTTTATGTGACTATTCGCGTGAGATGAGCATCCGAACAAGTCAAAATGCCACCTCTTCTCAACTTTCTAGAATACAGCTTACCAACTTAATGCCTTCTCAGGTTTAATGGTAAATCTGAGTGGGCTAAAACTTTAGCTAGGAGCGCTAAAATGCGATCAGGACCCATAGGTTCATCATTGTGAATTGTACTGAATCTTATTAACACAGTCTATAATAATGTACCTTGAACTAAACACTATAGTTGGTTCTGTAATGCTTTGTTTACTTTATAACCTTATGTCTGTTGATTACCATGGTATTTGCTTTGTTCTTGTACGCGTGGGCCAAACGTCGAGACACGCCAAAGACCTATCTCTCATTCTTCTCTTTGAATGAATGCATTCCTCACATCGGGAAGGCATTACTGTACTCTGACTATATATATTTTGGTGGGAGAAAAGGGATTAAGCCTGATCTTAATCCGAAGGCCACAATACGCCGACAAGGACTGGGAGAACACCAAAGTGACCGCCACACATCAGGTGATTACAAAAACAAGATATTACAAAGATTCATTCTTCCACCTAGCGAGAACCCTCAAGTTGTAATAGAGGTAGCCTGTGGTTTTCAGCTAGCCCGGTCCACGTAGTGGGGACCACCTACAAGACTTTTGAAAAAAAAGGTATGAGGAAAATTGCTTAAAGGAAGATAACTGCAATATGTCAGCTCCGCAGGCTGTCCTCATAGTTCTTATTATCCCTTTAGAGCTGTGGCGTCCCGGAGCTTCCTATAGGGCGAAAGAAGGCATAAATAAGCTTGAATACGCGTATTCCGATGATGACAGGGCAAATGGGCCTGGGCGTGGCCCGAAGACCAGCTCACGTGTACAGGGGCCAGAAAAATACTAAAGTGAACACCCAACATCCGATAGTCACATAAACAAAACATTACAACAGCAAGAACTATCCTCTAGGATGCACCAAAATAGCTCTGTTTTCTCGTTTTCGTTGAAAGAACATGTTAGGCTGAAGGTACACGCATTTTGTTGTCCCTAGAATAGCATATTGAGGCTGAATAAAATTAATCTACATCTTGAATTCCGCAGAAACGTTGCTATCTTGGTCTTACAAAAATAGGGTTGGAAAATTATGCATAAAGTGAGCTTAAACCTTTTTTGTATTTTGCACAATTAGCACAATTATCAAATAGTAACACCCGATGCAATTATTTTGGTTGTTTTAGCAAACTGATTACTTATTTGAAACAAAATGTATTTTGTGAAATTTGCGAATTATTGGGTTTTCAAAAATTTAATGAAAACTTCTACTAGCTAGTTAATGAAAGTAATGCCATTTTGCCTTGGAACTCCATTGGACAATTCTGGCGATGGAAAGGCTGGTTATGGTGTGTAGTTTTGCTGTTGTCTAAATTCAATTTTTTATTCGTGCTCGTGTCGTTACTGTACACAGAAATGAGTACTGCAGGTTTGCTATTTAAAATACCATTTAACACCATTAGATTGCCTAGGGGACGTCAACGAAAGACTTCAGGCTATTCGCAATCAACGTTTAGAGACCATTAAAAATATTCAAGTGGGTTTCGTTCCTTATTATTACATCTTAGCGTCTAAAATCGGAGTATGAACATGTCACTCGATTGCTTGAGGAAGCTGGCGTCTCTCCTGAAGGGTAGGTTTTTGGCATTATCCAATTTCGGTAGTGAGCTGGACGCGAGACGAAACCTTGGCAAAAGGAAATTCTGCTCAAATCCCAAAATGGTATTCCGTATATTTATTTCGAAGTTCTTTTGCAGGGTCTAGAATTTCTTTTTGAAAATCATATTATCGAACGGGATCCTGCTGCAGTTGCCAGGTTTTTTGTAGATGAAAAGCGCAACCTTTCCAAGGCAGCTATAGGCTCATATCTAGGGGAAATGTTGGTTTAAACTAGTTTTTCTTTTTTTTTACTTAATTAACTTAAGTCTAAAATATAGTTTTGTGTGTTTTCAGCTCAAAGGAGTTTAATATGCAAGTGCTGGAGGAGTACCTCAAGCTTCATGAATTTTCGGGACAAGATTTTCTTCCGGCATTGAGGTAAGAGGCAGTCTTTTGATCCTCATAAGCATGCTCATTTTCACCCACGGTTTGCTCTTATTCCTTTGCAGGAATTTCCTTTTCAGTTTTCAACTACCCGGCGAGAGCCAAAAAATTGATAAAATCCTCCTCTCATTTGCTCATCAATACGTCTTGCAGAATCCCAGCGCCTTCCACACTTCCCGTACGCTGAGTTCATACATAGTCTGTGTGACCAAGTGTGTTTTTTTAACTTTTAAACTCATTGTAGAGGATGCTTACGTTCTTGCCTATGCTGCCATTCTCCTAAACACTACCCTCCACAACACTAACGCAAAGAGTCAAAATCTCAGTCTTGCGGACGAAAAAACTTTCATCCAAACGATGTTGGATTTCGACAAAGAAACTAATCTGTCGGAGGAAATGATTCGAGTAAATCTTTTCCGTTGTTTTTTGTTTTTGGTGGGATCCTTCACGTTTACCACTTTCAGGAGAATGTGAAAATGTTTCGTTTCTTATCGTATCGAGTTTTTTCAAAATTATTAGCCGTTGCTCGGCTTTGCTCTGTCATTGGTTTGGAATTGCTAGCTCATTGTCCTGCCTGTTGGGTATTGATGTGCATGGTAGGCGGTAGCAGGCCTTCAAGGCAATGCTGCCTTCGTACCCAGTTTCCGGGTGTGCTTTCCACAATTCGAAATTCTGACCTCTAGGAGTATGTACTTCCCCACACAAAGTTCCCTTTCTTTCGATATTTGCAACAGGTTATGCGCTGACTAGGGGCTCTGCGTGGCGATTGTTTTTAAATATTGATTGGCATGGTCGTAGGGTGAAAGCTTTCGAAGTTGGCATCGTCATTCAGCACCCAGGTATGGCTAGAACGTCTGTGCCCTTCATATTCCTTACTCTGTGCCTGAATTTTTCCTTACTGGTAAAAATTACATGGTTTTGAGTTTTACTCCTTTGCTAGTAGGAGTCTTCTGTTTCTGTTGACTGATATTCTGTTTGGGTTGGTCTACAATGAGTCGTGAGGTGTATATAGGCTGGCATCAGCTTTTCTCTATTACACTATGCTTGCCTTGGACGTCCGTAGAGTTATGGACTTTTAAAGCTATCACTTCCGGGCTAATGTTATGGCCCTGCTTCATTGCCTTTCGATTCCTCTTGCATGAATCTTCTCTCCCCAATCAGTTCTTCCTGCATGCAAGACTGTAGCTTTATGTCCGCTGGCGTGAATTTAAAGTACAAATCACGACCCATAAAACTCGCCAGTTGTTGGGGTCGCATTGAGGTCAAAGCAAAATACGTATTTGGTGTGAATTCCTCATCCTACAGGATGCCGCAAGTTCATCCTTAGAGTGGTTTATTTCATAATGGGATGTAAGTGGATAGGAATAGAATTCTGATACGATGAGTTAGATGCAATCGAAAACCTAATACTGAGCTGGACCGTATTCTACATTGTTCCTTTTTTGTTCCATTTATTTCACATCCTTTTTCAGAGCGTTTACCATGGCATCAAATCAAAGCCGATTCAACTGGCGGAAGAGTGCTCAGAACCCAGCATAATGCGTGGCTGGCTGTGGAAGTTAGGTGAGTCTTGCGCTCTAATACAAAATGTCCTAAAGTTTTACTCATACCACATCTTCAGCTAGCTATAGAGCTCATTGAATTTAGCACTGTTTTCATGGCTTTTGCATTTTGGCGTATCTTTTAACACGCTTTTTATGAGGCCTTAGATATCACGATTACCTCAGTCAGAATCTTTATTAGTGTATACTTGCAGCCCGAACAGAGTGCTATGATATTATAAAAAGTGAAAGAAGTTTGTTTTTTTTATCTCGACTGAACTTACCATTTTAGCAGAGTAGTTCGTCATTGTTCTCATCTTCGTTTTTGTTACTAGCATGGATACGGGGAAGGTTTCGTTCACTCGCACCTTACATGTATCATTTCAGATCGCTTTTCTATTGTCCGCATGCTATTTTTACCCAAATTTAAGATTGTTGGCGTGTGTATTAAAGTGACTAAGTGACCGATGTGGTTGTCGAATCGCAATCACTTTATTCACATTTCTTCCTTTGTTTTTGCGTTGCTAACTGCAGCCCTATGTTGGTAATACTGCTATACTGCTCGGCTCTCAGCAGGCATCTAGGTATCATTCGTCTTCATGGCGGTATCGTTACCGTTCTCAAGTTTTTAAACGGAGCGGATAGCCTTATTCTATGGGCCTCAGGAATGCAGCAACCTTATGGTCCATGGGTGATCTTATGGGCTGCACACTGCTTTTTCCTCGGTCGGTCCTTTGATCTTGATGCGTTCATTTCGTCAGCCGCACTCCCGAAGAAAGCTGTTTTATCGTTTTACATCAGAATTTAGGCACAAGCCCATCCGACTTACTCAATTAAGGGTCGGTTTGCCTTATAGCACTATTTGTATTCAGCTGGGCGTACACTATTTGGCGCGGCGTCGGATTCAGCAATCCTTCTTCATCACTAATGCTTGTTTCTTCGAAATTAGAGCGTTTTTGTGATTAGGGTCTTGGTATCAGCAGGCAGAGCTTTCTAGAGGTCACACCAGGATACATTCTCACGGTTACGTTGGTGTTGTGGTTACTCTTCACTTCCTTCGGCAGTAAAAACAAGCTTTTTACCGCTGTTTGCTTGAAAGAACCTGGAGGATGAGCAATGTGAACCAGCCACCACTAGCAGTCGTAATCGCTTTTCTTACCAAATTTTACTTCCCGAGGTAGTGCGTGCAGGTAATCTCTGCATTACTAATTCGGACTCCGAGGAGTACATAAAGAGAGAAGCGTAATTTTCTTAACTCGGGCAAGAATTTGTGAATTTTGTTTCATTGCGTGTTGTTTTGGGAAGTTAACTAGCTCAGAAAAAGGATGTTGATGAGTTCTTTTTCCTTATGTACTACAAAACTAGCATTCCCTTAGGCCAGTCACTCATGCAGCTGCATCCGTCATAATCGCCGGAGGACGGGTAATCTTTTTGGAAATCAAAGGCAAACGATTCGAGTTTGATCTTCCAGTGTTCCCGTCCAAGATATAATTTGATCCAATCGAGATGGAAGGCGTAAGTATCGCGCATTGGAGAGGATCCGTGAACGGACTAGAAGCTCTGTAATCGCTGTGCTAATCCGATGGAATCATTTTAAACGTTCAGCTGGACAAAAGCACGATTGAGGCGAGTATATTGAAATGTGGTTGCTAAAGAAAAGTACCTTTAAAATGAAGGTAAGGAGGGAAGGAAGACGAATCCGGTCGAGGGTTTTGCATGCCTTGGTTAATGCACTTAGGCAACTTCAAAATGGGCGTCTGTCCGTTCCCCTCCCCACACTGTAGCATAGGTCGGAAAGACTGTTCCGAAGGAAAGAACAGAAAGGTGAAGCTTTCTGACACTGAAAAATCAGAGCGCAGTTTCCGCCAACGCCATTGGGAGGTCTGAGAATCAGTATTTGATAGCAAGCACTCTTAGCCTAAACGGAAATAGGACCATGTAGACCAAGTAGAAAATGTCTGGAAGCGGAAAAGGGAAGCGTACTGTTAATCTCTGTGTTATTTTAATGTTCACTGTTTTTTTTAAGGTTCGCGTACAATTTTGAAAGCATAACGGGAATTTGTATGTGACTTTCAGTGACTTGGAATGAAACAGCCTAGCAATAGCATCGGAACCTTTAGAGTGAATAACCGTAGTACAATTTGATTGCATTGCGGAAGACTAGGTTGGCTGGGGAGACTGTGTTCTCTCGATTCCGAAGTGTTCATTCCCCTCTTTTTGTTGGCGCTCGGCCCCACCAACCTTAGATGATCGCTAAATCCTCGTTTATAGGCGGCGGCGGTGGGAGTGTGCACTTGACCGCGTTTTGATGCCTTTCCGCTTGCGGCTTTTTGGTTGAAGTGGCTGCGAAACGAACTGGGTTAATTGGATAGGCGTCTGACATGAGTTTTATTTCTTTTTAGCAGTAAATTTCATCAGTTTTTTGTGTCACTGCTTACGTCATGAGACTTCCCTCATTCACCGCCGTACCACTGGTTGTCCTCAGCTTATTTTACTAATAAAATTGGTCACTTTGAATTGAAACAACTACCTGAATTGGAGCACACGGTACTCGTTTAAGCCATCCATTTACGGGATTCTGTCCATTTTTTTCAATAACCGAGGCCATACTTCCTCGTTTCTGTTAAGTGGCATCATTTACTGGTTTTAAGGCGCACTTTTCACTTGTTTTAAGCCCACTGTATTTCCCTCTCTGTCTCACTGTCGGATTCAATTTTTGTGTCTTTTTGCTTTTCATTCCTCCTTTACAGGTGGTCGTGTGAAAATTTGGAAACGTCGGTGGTTTGTCCTGACAGAAGAGTATCTCTTCTACTACAATGCCCCTGACGTATGTTTCCCCTCTTCTTCACCATTTGTTCCCATTTTGTCCATGAAAATGCCTTGTCATCACGTTTGCACTTTTCTCATTTTTAGCGAACAACGCAGCGAAAGGGTATCGTAGCGCTGGAAAATGTCTGCATTCGGCGTGTCAGTAATGACCGCTCGAGGGAGTTCTGCTTCGAACTCTTTCCTCGTCCCTGTCCCAACAACAACACCAACGGTGTTGTTGGCAGTGCCAGCAGCAACGGCAACCTGGGTGGCGGAGGAGGAACAATAAATACTCGCAAAGCTGATAGAGAGGGTGTTATCACCACTGGTGGGTGTTTTCTTCCTCCTCATTGACTTGGTGCAATTGTGCAGACTGATTGGGCATCTGAAACTTGTACTTGTGGTTGTCATGGCGGCCAGTATTTGCACATTTTGTGATTTAGACGCATGGCGAGGTTTGACTACGTCATGCGAAGTTGGACTAGGACCTGGAGCATTGGAGGCTCGTTTTTGAGTATCTGACAGTTTAAATTAGCCCCTTTTTGAATCATACTTATCGGCATAATCGTGGTGAAAATAATCGGGTTAATGAGTACCTTGGCACTGCTGTACTTTTAAAAATATGCGATTGAGGACTCCTACCGCAATCAACTGAGTGTTGTAATGCTCCAACACACTATTAAAGTGGATTCTTAGATGTTGAGATTTCATCTACTCAATACTCATTCATCCATAGCAGTGGCTTTAACTGTTCACATGTCTGCGATTCACCTCTACTCCTCTCTTTCCGTTCCGTCACCCGATCGCTCATCCATTCTGGTCGCATTTCTCATCCTTCAGTACATTTTTTCGACTTATCGCTTTGCCACCTGGACATGGACTTCACTTGGTAGCATCTCAAAATGCCACTGTTTGTTGACGAATGTCTGGAGGGATGCAGCAAGGGTGTAGAAGGCCGATTCAAAGGTGGATTCGTGGCAGACATACCTAAAGGTTTCATATTGTTGCCTTAATGGCTGATTTACGGGGCTCTGGACCGACCACCAATCATTTGTATAGCAAAAGAATGGCATTATTGCACTGCTGAATTTAAGAATTTGGTTATCTTAGTGCTACAGGCTGTCAAAATAACTTCTTTCGAAACTTCTCAACATTCCTTATGAATCGCTTCGGCTGTGATTGTGGGCGCACCTGTGCTTAAGCCAGTTTTTCCCCTCATTTGACAAGCAGTGCTACAGGCAGCTGTGATGTGAACTTTTTAATAGAAAGTAGACCTCACCTACCCTCACTTATTCCCCACATTTCTTGGCTGGTTTCCTCCTGGCCCTATGCTTTGAGTGAGATTAGACTGAATAGTTTTGAGGAGGCTTGGAGGACGCAATGGGGACGGCACAGAAAGGTATTAACAAAGTAGACCTCTCAAATGCTCTACAATAGCACACTTAGCCTACTTTGAGCTCCTATTTTACATCTTCCAATATTAAGGTGCCATTATCACTACCCTTTTAGTGGGTTCCATCTAAGCCATCCCTTTACTTGGAATGGCGATCCTAGAATTTAATACTTTCCGGCGGGAACGGTTTGGTAGATGCAGGACCTTTGTTAAATATTTTTTTATTGCATTGCGTTGCTTAGACTACCACACCACTTACCGAATGGCAGCAACCAACTCGGAGGAGTACGAAAAATGGGTGACCTCACTTCAGCTCATCACCAATCGCTTCGGGATTGCCGCAGCGGCGGCCGCAAGCAGTGTGAATCGTCGTTCGGAGACACCACTGCGGGGTGCCTCGGTGCCGTGTTTGTCCGGCTCCTCTTCCTCCACCACATCCTCCGCACTCATCGGTGCTCCTGGCCTGCCGAGTGTCGCATCCCAGCCTAATCCCATTACCTCGGTCTCAGGTAGCCCTGAGATCTAGAGGGAAGGGGAGAGATGCAGTTGCATCTCTAATCCTCACCCCACTTCTCTCGCGTTGGTGTTCATTGTGCCTCCCCTCTGTTTTGTACATACGACTGATATTGACGGTGTTACTATTCGTTGATTCTCGCAGTAATAAAGATTAACGGTCAATGTCACTATTTTGGCTTGTTGTTGCTTTTTTTTTGTTGGTGTTGGCGTTCTAACAGCTGGTGTTACGCGTTCGTGCAAGGCCTCTCACCCTCGTGCATGTTGTATGTCCGCACCAAATACGCAAGGCTAGGTAGGCTTACACACCTAATTCTAATTCTAACTCTTCTTTCACGCGTTTAACAGGACATTGCATAAATGCAAAACCAAAAAAAGGCGGAATGGGTTTTTTTTTGCCAAGCCCCAGATATTCTACAATCTCGTTTTATTGCTTTTAAATAGGTTTTTTATTCCATCGTTAGTGGTGGTGGTGGTGGTGATGGTGGTTTACGAGGTAATGAAGTGGTTCATTAATGAATTCATAACCCACATTGGCGGACCAGTCACGTTCAGTCAAGTGACTGTAATCATCTCAGCTACGAATGTGTCACGTGTCACGTGAGAGACCTGAGTCGCCTCTGTGATTGTAAGTGGGGCGGAGGGGGGGGGGGCGCTAGGATTGGCGTCTGCTTAACCGCTGATGCATTGCGACAACCGCATAGGGACTGCAACGCTTTGGCCTAGCTGGAGGGCGGCTGATGTTATTTAACCAAAAGTCGGTTTAAGGTGTGGTCGATTGCTCCAGGGGTCTTGGCTGCTGCATTGTTTGTCGAAAGGATGCGTTGTTTCTAAAGGTAGGACTTTCTCCATGTGGTTGTTTGTCTTGATTGCGGAATAATGTGGCAAAGCCAATTCATCGTAAGGAAATGAAAGTGGTTGCGTACTGTGATGCTGCTTTTGGGTGAGTGGGTTTGGAGTAGCGCACCTATTTGGCACTGACAGTGACTGCACTACCCCTGTTGGGCTGTCAAGTGTTAAGCTTGTGGGTACAAGTTGGTCTGTGCACCCACCTCGGTAATGGCAGCCTCATACATTACGTCGGCTTGACGTGCGAAGGAAATGCTTGCATCGTTTGCGTTCATATTTTGGAAGTTGTGTACTTTTTTCCCCATCACCATACATTAATGTTTGGGTCATGAATACTCCTTTCCTTTCACACTCCTGCTAGCTCTCTTTGTCTACCTCCACATTCCTATTTCGCTGTGCTCTGTGTTCAGGTCAATCGGTCAATCTTCTCGTCGTTTTTATTACTTCTGCCTATCCATCACATCTCGTCCGTCGGTCTTCATGAATGTTCTTCAGACCTGCGGGCTGATCATAAATTTGGGGCCTTGTGATGACTGGATTGCCGTGGGACTGTTTTGTTCACCTTAGTCGAGTGTTCGGTGATAGGAAAACGTTGTTTCTACGATTGCCCATATTCAACAAATCTTCCTCCTTATTCTGCTAGCCACAATAGATCTTGTTTTTGTTTGGCCAGACATGCGATGTACATATGCACATGTGTTTGTGTACTTGTGGCTCTGTATGTCCCTCAGATCGTGCCGCGATCACACCTTGAAGGCATGACTTTGTTTTGGCCTAATGCAGTTATGCAAAAAGGTTAACATTAGCCTACTTAGGACATCACTTTCCCTCTTTTAATGGTGCTTGTTCTGGTTGTGGGCCAATTGGATTCTCTGATTTTGTCACTTTTAGTTCGCACACAAGGCGGGTGTTGAAGGAGTGCAGTACTTTCACTCCTACTAGACCCATTTGATGTGGTGTGTGACCGGGATAAACCAAACTTCTTGTAGATGAGTTTGTTGGCGTTTGAGGGGGCGTTTGAGCCTACCTCAGTGCCATTTTTGCAATGTTCGAATTGCGGGGTGCTTAAAGTGGGAGCTTTTTTATGTACGCATCGTCACTTTCGCTGCCTTCGTGATTACTTGCGTTCGAAAACCGTAGCGATCACGTGACAGTTTTCGGTCACAGACGAGAGTTTAAAAATTTACCGCTTGTGATGTGCCTCGTGTCTGGTCAATTTGTAAAGTTGCATTGAATGCCTTTCCTCGAGAAGTATTGCTTGAAGTTGAAAAGCTAGGCCCTTTGAAGGTTTACCTCATCGTTTAAACGGTATTCGGTCTTGTATTTCGACCAATCTCAGATGCTAGTGTCATTCGTGGTGTCAGATTCTCTGGTTTTCTTCCTCGTTTGTTTGTTCGTTCGTTTTCTATGTTCTATTTATGTCTTTGCTTTCTCCTGCTAGCTGTCAAAAGCTCTTTTCTTGTTCCCTTCTCTCTGTTCCTTTCCACCCTGTCCCTACAGTCCCGTCCTCCACAGTGGTGTTGGATGTGTTGCACTACTTCAGAATTGAACTATCCGCTGAAAAGCTTTTGTACTCATGCCTAGATGGAGCGGCAATAATATCGTATTCACCCGATGCCATCAGACACGAATCTAAAATGTCCTTTTTAAAAGGCGAGATGAAGTGGGCAGTTTGTGTGTGTGTGTGTGTGTGTGTGTGTCTGTGTGTATGGCCAAAGGGGAGTTACTGTCCTGTTTTGCAATGCTTCTAGTGAATCACCCGATCTCGTCACCTGGGCTAACAAATTAACTACCCTCGACTACTTTGAGGAAAACAGTCTCCTTACCTCCTTTCAATTCGGCGCCGGCGTCCCCTCACTTTTCTGAAAAGTTAATTGCTGCTGCCGCTGTCCCTTTTCATCCCCAATGGCTTTCTTACGAAGCCGAAAAAAGGATTGTAGTCTTATCATTAAACAATCAAGTGGGCTAGCATTGCTGAAAGTCAATTGTTCCTGTCGTTTGCTCTGTCTAGGTCGCATCCATATGGCAGTTACGTCTTACTTTGAGTTTTATTAATTTTCAACCTTTTCTGAGCCTCATATGGCCCTCTACTTGAACATATAGCCATGGCATTTTTCCCCCGTTAAAGGTATCTACTCATTACATTGTATGGCAGCGTTGAAGATGGCAAAGAGCTTGACTGTGATCCCGGGTCAACAGAGGGCACAAGTGCTTGACCTCTACCGACGTATTATGCGATTGTCTAAAACCTGGATCTCCGCCAACCACAATTCGAGTCAGACCTCCAAGGAAAGCGCTTATATTCGACAAGAGGCAAGGACTCTCTTTCGCAGGAATGCACACCTTTCTGATCCCCAAGAAATCGAGGTAGGGCTTCATGCGGATATTCGATGACTTAATAAGTACTGCTATTAGCGCCTATAATTTTATCATTCCTTTTAATAGGCCCATATTCTTGAGTGTGTATCACGTATAGAATTAGCACAGCACTACAAGAATCCCTACCCGCGTCTATCGAACCTTCCCCAATCCTCCATGGTAAGCCGATCAATGAAGCGTAATCAACGCGTTATCGATAACTCCGTGCCATCTTACCTTCGCTCCTACAAGGCGAACAGTATCTCAACTTGTGGTAGAAAATGTCAGTAGATGCAGCAGTGCGCACCTTCCTTGCTTCCGTTTCTGTAGTCTTTAAGTGTGAAAATGAATTTTCTATGAACACTTACTTGAAGTCACTTGCAGTAAACGGAAATGCTTCTTCCTTCCATACAACGAATATGCTTTTATATATTATGGGGTGGATGACGATTGGCCGTGGAGATTAGAGACCATCGTCTGGTTCATAAGTATTTACATGATGTTATGAGAATTTGGGACATTGATTACTAGAAAGGGCAGGCTCGGATAATTTATTGTAGACGGCGCTACTGCTGTCGCATCATAATATTGAAATTCAAGCAAGCATAATGGGGCATTTTGAACAAAGGGGTGAGAAGTCGCATATTTCAGGCCTACATAAGTAGTGCGCCCAAATTCGCCGACATCGTTAATGTGGCTGCTGCTGGAGTAGAGCAGCTCCTACCGTTGTGTTCTGTCCCACAGATCTTCGAATGTTGGTGTAGATAAGGCATTTTATTCAACTTTTGGTTTGCTGAAGCTTTAAAAAGGAAGGTTAGTTGAAATGCTTCATTCTCTTGCAAGTGTGATGATAGCTCTGACAAGGCTTTGCATGTACTTTGGGCCATTAATTTAAATCTTGCATTGCATGTTCGTTTACTGACATAGTTGATTTATGTGCTAAAGCTATATGAATGTTAATGTCATGATTTAAAACGATTAACTTTATTAATTTTAATGATTTGTTTATACGCATCACTGGTACCAGGTGTGTACTGTCGAGGGGATTTGATGCTCATCCCTTCTCTAAGTCGGGCAGTTTGGCTTCATATTGTGCTCTTTCATGTCGGCGTCTTCAGCCAAACTCGATTTCGTTCCAGCTAACGTGGGAGTAACTAGGTCAAACATATCAGTCAATGGCTCATCAGATGGGGATCCCACTATAAGGAAACCCATGCCTCTTTGGCGGAAATTGGCATTCGCTTCTGGAGGTCTTCCAATGCAAATGATGCAGAACGTTATCTCCTTCTTCCTCCCTTTATTTCTCTTGGAGACTGTTAGTCTTGCTCCGTACTTCTTGTCCGTGATACTCTTAGCTGCTCGGATTTCTGATGCTGTCACTGACCCTCTTGTGGGTATGCTTGTTCTAAAAACGAAAAGTAGATTTGGACAAAAGCGGCCATGGTGCGTTCTGTGTATTGAGGCTTTAATGTGTGAGATTTTGGTAGTCATCAATGCACACTTTTGTTTCCTTAGGATCCTATTTTCAACACCGGTATTTGTGGCTTCCTTCTTCGCATTATTTTACGCAGTGTACTGGCCCGCTCCGGCGAAACTTTGCTTTTACCTAATCTCCATTATTATACTCCAATTTGGGCTCACGGTATGGTACTCTTCAGTTTGGTTATTTGAGTTCAAACTTTTCGTTTTGCATAGTACGCCAATCTGATCAGCACCTTTCCTTTTCTAGTCTTTCCACATTCCCTATAGTTCTCTAACAATGGTGCTTACTCATATTCCCGAGGAAAGGGATCTTTTAACTGCATTTCGTAAGTGACTGTATTTTAACTAATGATAGAGTTCCTAATGTTTGCGCTCATCCTACAAAGCTGTTATGTATTATCGTTTTATGCATGAGGCCACTTTCATTTCAGTGTTATAACTACCATTTTTCTTGATAGGCGTTTGTATAGAGTTGAATGTACCTTTTTCATTGTTCTGGTGTTGTAAGAAATGTTTTTATAGTATTCTATCTGGTCTGATGAGTTTTTGCTGAGTAATTTTCTGTTTGGCTTCGCTTACCTAAATCGCACTAAAATTTAACGTTTTGGTGCAGGTTGTTTTGGTTTTCCACTTGGTTTTTGGGATTTCAAAGCGTTGTGCGATGTGAATTTGCGTGTTTTTAGTGCATGCGATAGGCTAGTTAATGATATAGCATACTGGGCTTTGATGTTCCCGTAGAAGATCGACGTCATTGGCATGCAAGATGTGCCCATTATCCACTTGAGGGAATTGCGGCTACACCTATAATGCTGGTTAAGGGTGTTCTTGGCTTGGTGCCAATTTCGCTACCTTCATTTTGAGCAGCATGGCTGTGCTGACGTTGTGGTCATGTTGGACCAATAAATTGTCTGGAGTACATCCATCACGTGTCCTTTAATACTCTAGCAGTGGTTGCACGTAACGAGGCTGACCACGTTAACTGCGCTGTTTCTCTCCAAAGACATATTGGAAAACAGTACGATAGGGTCAATTCATGATATTATCTCAGTATGCAGCAAATAGCAGCCTGCATGATGCAGTAAGTGAGCCTTCTCTTTTTTTAATAGGTCCACTGGCACGTTGAATGCAGACAGTCTGTACATAAAGCTTAGCTACTGGTAGCTTGCCCACTTATTTCTGGCCACGTGGCATGATATGTGGTTATCGCAAAAATATAAATGCTAGATTTGTACCTCACGCTGCCAGAACAGCTCTCTTCATTCTACCATGGCGATAGTGGTGTCCGTGACCCTGACGGAGCCAATCAAATGTGTGGGCGAGTGGGAATGAGGTGATGTTCGCGTGATTGTCGCATGTGTTCGAGTGCCCGCGTCCTCCCACGCCACGCGCGAGCGTGGAAACCTTATTTGTTGGAGCCATGCCACACCTACCTAAGCTCTCTGTGTTCTGACACATGGGCGAGCTAGGCTCATCTTGTGATTTCCTTCCTCTGAACTGAAATACTCACTTTTGCACGTGAGACTAAACCCTTGCCTTTTGGTGAATTCCCATTAATTATTTCGCCCAATTTCTATTTTTTTTACTGATTTTCGAAGTTCACATGGCTACCTTTGTCTATGAATAGGTAATGCAGTCAAATGTTCCGCAAAAATTAATCCGATACTACTTAGAGGTGCGAAACTATGCTCTGGGTTACATTGCGCAGGTCGGTTTTGTCACATTTTTGGGTGTATTTGACCTCAGTTGTAGCGTTTAGGTGCTATCATGTCATTCTGCACGCAGAGGGATCAACGGTGTATTTTACACAATTCGTAAATACTTTTGAATATAACAAATGGAAACCTTTTGCTAAATTTTCCGATTTTCACTCGAAATGTGAGATTTAGTGTTGGTTTGTCGAAATTCTGCGAAACTGCACATCGTTATCGTTTGCACTCAACCCTCAATTGGATCAGTAGCCTAGAATTTTGTTAATCTCGTATTTCCTCCCACCGAGGGGGTGCAATTTGGCTGTTTTAGTTTTTGAAAATGTGCATTGGAACAATCTATGAAAATTGGATTTTGATACGATCCCTATTTATGGAGTTACTGAGGTTTGCTGTCTTAGCCTCGTCATAATGCTATGCAATGACGAAATCAACTGGTTCCATAAAGGCTATTATTAGCATTGATGCAAGCAGCTTCAGCTTCTCCTTGGTTGCGCTGTGTCTGAGGGGATTTTATTAAGCGTCACTTAGAATGACTGAGTATTCTGGAGGGTCAGTCTCGAATACACTCTAAATCTTGGCGATAAACGAGACTTTCCTTTCAAGGAAATAATGTGGCTTGAAGATTTAACCAAATCACCGAATTTTGCAACACGAGATCGGGTTTGAAAGCTCTTCCTATTATCTTAACAATGAATCGGCATATCCTCTGATTTATGACTTCAGGTACGGATATGGGGAGAGGGACTGACTTTGGCATTCATACCACGGGCACCGAAAGGAGCGGATTAGTGCTGTTGCCTTGATTTGGTCGAGTCACTGTGGCCTGAACAAACAGATAGCGATAGTACTGGAGATGTTACGAATTCCGGAATTTAATACAGGCATTATTACGTATTCGTTTATTTGGTACCATTCTGGATGCAGCAAATCTCGACGTACTACGCTTTATGGTGCGCTGGTTTGACAATTGGTTAATCGGCGATGATTCACTGCCATCGAAATCACGCCACACCTCCCACGTAGTTGTGTCCAACTAACTGCCGCATGCAGCTGTTATATGGGAAGTCCACAACTCTGTTGTTCATTTCATTTCTAGCTGGGTTAGGCGGCGTTTTTTGTCAGATCACGTTCTTCCCTGTCATAGGGCTGGACGGATGGACGGACGGACGACGCCGCAAATCCGCATGTGATCTATCCGAATCACGAATTATTGTCATGTAAAAGCAGGATTTGGATGGCGATGTTTGGGCTTGGTGGAACTCATTTTTGGGGTAAAGGCATGAGGCTCTGTTTTCGCTACTTGTGTCCTCACTTCGGTAGAATTGGTTCAACTACCCAGTGGACCTTTTACTCGTGGCTATGCTAAATTAAGTGGAATCCGCTAGTAGTGATCTGCGTTATTAAGCAATGTAGGAAAATGAGCTCATTTTAATCACCGTCCTAAGCCTTAACCTTCCGTAACTTTGATTAGGCATGTTTTCGGAGGTGTTGGCTATTCTCTTCGGTGTGGCCGTCTTTGGGGCCATCATCGCACCTTATCGCGTTGTCTCGAGTTGTGAGGATTCAGTTTTTACCAATGGCACCGTCGACACCAACTCAACCAAAGTTACATTCACGTCTCAACCCTTTGTTCATCCGGATGCTAGGCGACGTGAGGTGAGTTGCTTCTCTATCCACTTCATTAGTGCTTCTTGTAGTTGTTAATGCTGTTTAACCCCTTTCACTGGTAGATAAAACTGTCGTGATAACTTTAGTTACGCAAATTATGTGGAGGATCAGACATCTCACAATCGTTTATTTTCTCTCCTAACTGAAAGTGGGAGGGGGAGGGAGTTGATGATAATGTCGCAGGCAAGTGCTCCACAAATGGATGTGCAAAGATTTTGGTTTGCATTATTGCATTTTACGTAAAATTTGCATTTTGCATTTCATCACGACTACAACCGTTTGCTGTGAGGTAGAATCGTCGGGAATTCTTCTAAGTCGAAACTACCACTTTCGACACTTCTTCTTGCCTTTCTTTGCTGTAGATCAAGATAGGTAAACGGTTTGCATGACCACCATCACCACCACTGTGAAATCGCACAGCTCATGACTGCAATAAAAGAGTGCGTAGGTAGCTGGTCTTGCTCATTGTATTGTGATAACCTTTACTGAGGTGCTAGTGATGGGCACTCGGGGAAATCTCCTGTTTCTTCTACCGAATCTCACCAACTCTGTCCCTCTTACTCTGTGTTAGCGTCTAGATTAACTTTAGAATATCAATTTGGGCTACTTTGTCGCTGCAGCCTCTGAGAATCCGCAAATAAGCGTGTTTCTGTGCTACATTCCTTGCTTGTCTGGCGTAGAACGTAGCTTATGAGATGGGATTGCTGAATTTTTATTTGTTACAGAAGAGCCTTCTGATTGGTTCGCCACATTTTATGGAATGGTAGTCGGACTCATTTCTCATACATCTTTCCGCCGTGGTTGCGCACACTACTTTCTTACTCTTCAATCAGTCAGCCGGAAAGTCTCTTCCGAATAGAAAGTTGCATCAGTATGGGCTACCGATCAAAGGTAACCTCCCTCACTTTGCCATCAGTGCGGATGGAAGTCGCTGGTTGACTTTGAAAAATTGCACATCGTTACGAATAATTGTGTGGTGTTTACCATCTCTAGTACAAATTGTCCTCGGCACAGTTTGATGACGACAGATGTAGGTGGTGAGTCAGTGAGGAGTAAAGGAGAAGGCTGGTCTTTCACCGTTGACTGAATGACTGTCGTGTCTTTGGCCTTTGAACCACCGCAATAGTGTGTTTTATCGAAACCCATTTATTCGCCTACCGTTTTGTTGGCGGGGTCAAGGTAGCTGCCTTGGTTTCAGGGGTTACTTGTTGTGCACCTAGGGTGGTTGTCACTCTCCAGTCAACTGTGTTGTGCCCCGATTGGTGGGGTGCCTAGGGGCATGCATTTGCACCTCCCCACTGCACCGGCGGCGTATTTTTTTGTGGTCGTGGTGTCACTGGTCTTGGCTTTATTTTGAACGGATGTTCCTTTTTTGCTATTAAATTGAAAGCAATGTGATGGCTTTTTTTTTGGGTGTATGGTGAAGAAGGTTTGGTGCTTAAGAAAGAGTTTGATGCTACTCTGTGTGCATTTCCAGACTGCCGTTAATCGCCTGTTTAAAGTGTATCAGTCGCCGAGTTTGTTGGAAAACTCCCGGTCGTTTAAAATGATTCCTCCTCTTTCAGCATTTGACGTGACGTTAATCAGGGAATTGCCATCCACATTTCCTCTTGCCAATGGGGACGTGCTTTCATTGTTTTTTTTGAAAGGGGTTTGACGATGTGATGGTAAACAAAACCCCTTGGACACATTTCTTGGCTGACAAAAGTTGACATGAAATTACTCGATTGGCCTCTCTCCTCATGAAGCCTTTTAAGTGGCGGTTCTGTCTCGTTGAATCGAGACAGTCGTCGATGCGTTACGCCTCATCGTCGGTTGAGACGCTAGTTAAACCCATGCTTGAGGCGAGGTGTGTCCGAGGCATTATAAAAGCTCCAACAATCCGCTTGTGAGTCTACTTCCTTTAAATATTAAACATTTTAAGCCTCACTGTTCGGGTGTTGTATTCCATCGTGTTAACACGTTCCTTACCAACATCATAACTACGTGACAAGCGTACTTTCTTTTTGTGTCAACTGGTCGCATGAAGTCGTGTGTGTTGAACAGTTTAGTTGAAATTTAAAGCTTTAAACAGACGTAGCGTGATGCTTTCCACCGTGTGACAGCAGCACACTTCTCGGAGCTCCGAACACAGCAGTTTTCGTTCTGATTTTCCGCTGTGTTCGCGGAATTACCCGCAACTGCTACGCATTTTCACCGCTTTGGTGTCGATTGCCACATGCCGTGATCTTCATATGCAACCTTCTCTACATCTTTTTTACATTATGGAATTTGATTTCACCCTCTCTCGGTCCACGCCAAAGCATCACGATGTGAAGAGGACTTTACGACCAACAATGGTCGAATGAGTAAAGTGTTTGCTGGAATTCGTCAATGTAAGGCGTTGCAGCACGTCTACTGACGGTTCCTTCCTAACTGATGCCTTAAGCATGATTCCTGTCAAAAATGACTTATAACACAGGAGATTTCGACAAAGACGAATCTAGGCCAGAATGCAGATTGGGAATTGTAATGAGCCATCGTTAAAGCAGTCCAACCTAACCTTGCACCGTCATTACCCATTTCGGTTTTTTTTTTTTAAGGCGTGGGCCTATATGACAGCCGCCTCAGTGACCTGCGTCATATGCGCAGTGGCATCGCTCATCTGCTTCTTCGGCACCCGTGAAGAAGGCAGCAATCTTAATGCCACCATTGCTGGTGCTCAGGGGGAAGGTGATGGAGACGGTGATGATACAACAACGGTGGGATTCGTCACCGCGGTGCAGAAAGTCCTCACCAATCCACCCTATCTCTACCTCATGGGTGCCTTTCTCTTCATGTCTCTTGGCATTCAGGTGAATCAACTGCTTCTCTCCCTCTACTTCCACATTCAAGCCCGATTATTTCAGTGCTTTTGTTTTCTTTCTATGCGTCTTTTTGCTTGTATACTTTGTTTGCATAAACTTTATACTTTTGCCAGGACATATGGGTTCTTTACTGCCTTTTCAGATGTTCTGTTTTGTGACCCTAATTTCCAGTTGACCTTTCCTATTATCTCCGTTCCTCGCATTCAGTGTATCGGATTGAAGCGTCGTAGATGAGTAGCCAAATGAAAGCGGAAAGAGTGATTCTGCTTAATGCACCTGTGCATAAGGACATCATTTTCTTGGAATGAAATTTCCAACTGCTAGCAAACATGCTTGGTTGAGGGGATTTTGCAAAAAGACCTCCATTGGCTTGTAACTTTGGCGAATAACGAGAACAAACATCTGTGACCTTTTGGGCATGTGTCGCCCACTCGGTGGTTTATTGGAACCGCATTGTGCTAACTTTACGGCTGTTACGAATATAAGCGGTGGGGAGGCACACAAACAACATTAAAGCCCCTTTTAAGGGCATAGATGAACTTGGCTGGACGTCAAGGGTGTTTCCTTTCCCTCTTGCAGCGTTTTCTTCGCTCGAGTAAAACGGCCTGTTGTACTGAAAGATAAAAGTGCTGGTCTTTTAGGCGATAGGAAGTAGTAGGCATGTTTTGAGACGACTTGGCACCAGTCTCTGTGCAGCGTCATTCAATCTCGGGAAGTGACGGTGACGGCGACAGTCGATGGTGCGAGTGAATGCTGTAAAATAGGCAGATCTCTCCTCCTCTGGCCTTCATTTAACCAGGACAATAGTAATTCTTGGCCACTTTGAGTGTTCAACTTTCATGATATCCGTCCTTTTGTTGAACGCAAGAGACATTCTGCGGAAACTTCCAACTTATGCACATAAAGGAGAAAATTGCTCAATTTCTGGACATCGCTTTTTGGCAGTACGGGAAAACTACCCAAAAATAGCCTCCTTCACATTCCAATGGCACCGGCAGTACCTCTTTGCGAACGTCTGTGTAGCATTTACTATTCTCATGGCGTGAATTGGAGCTTCCGTAAGTTGGTGCCAGGACGGATTTGTGTGGGTCTTTGGGGAGGAGGAAGAAGCTGTTCTCTGTTGATTGTGGATTAGGATGTCAGCCATTGAAATGTCTGCTATGGCTTCATTTCTTGTGAGGTAGGTCTCTCGTTCATAGAAGACTGCATCAGTACCATCATTGCCTGCCCTTCTGACCAACGCTGTCTGAATTCGACTATCCACAAAGTGGGCACAACTGGCACGTTATCACTCCCTTTTCTCCCCTTTGAAGTTGTTTTTTTTTGTTTATTGTGAGTGCTCCTAATAGCTCGTTAGCAAAATAACTCCTTTATCGAAGTACATTTCAAAAACGGTCATGACAATTGTTAAATTGCCTTTAGAAATCGTCCACTCCTCTCGCATATTCATCCACCAAGTGTGTGTTCTGGATGCTTCTTTTACCCAAATGTCTAATTCTCCTCCTCTCTTTCCGTATCGACAGTTCCTGCAAGGCAACATCGCACTTTTCATAACTCACTCCTTGCACATGAGCAACTACCTCATTCCGGGTGTTCTGTGCCTCCTCGGTTTCACCATCCTCCTTGTGCCCCTCGCCCAAGTGCTTCTTCGACACCTCGGCAAAAAGACCACAATGGCCATCGGCATTGCTGTGAGTCGACAACATTATGCCACTTACATCTGTCCCCTTACCCTCGTTACACGCAAATTGTTCGCACTCTTGCTCGTAGCCCAGCCGCAGTTAAACGCTTAGTTAATCTACTTCCACTTTGACAATTTACCAAAGCACGCGACTACCGTATTAAAACGGAGTAGCCTGAATCGGGAGGGTCTTTTAATGCCCTTTATAGTTTCAGGTAGAGAGTGAGAGAAAAAGAGCACTGCCGATTCGGCTGTGCTCTTTGACGTATGCAGTGTAATGGCGTGTATTTCCACCACCCCCTAATGGAGGCCTTGGAATGGTGAAACGGTTCAATTAGGATTCGTGGGCGTTGGCATGACATTTCAAGTCAGTAGAGGGGTGTGGCATGTTGGGGGAGGCATTGAGAGGCGTAATGCAACTAAATTGCTTTCTAACCTTAATTTGGAGATCGCCTTAAGTGGCATTTGAGAAGGGTAGGTTGACCCTAAGGCACTTTTTGCCTTTAACATCGGTCACGGGGTGGCCTCATTATTCGGCACTTACGATGGCAATTCCGCCGCTGACACAATGAGGAGAGACGTTTCTGTTCTAAGGTGATTGGGTGAACTTCACCCCTTAATTGGATGTGTCAACGCTGTTTCGTGTCTAACCGTACGACTGAAGTCTTTAAATAACCATCTAGACAGTTCAAATGTCTACTTCTTTGTCTTGTGGAGAGTTGTTTTCGTAGTGTTACGAAAGTTTCCTCCCAACTTTTATGTAGGGCTGCGGCGTCTTTTTACTCTGATCATCAGATAAAAAATTGACCAAGGAGAGCCTTTTTATTAGTACTTTTGTTTCAAATGCTTACTCCGACAAAGCTGTTTCACATGAGTTAATGCGTTCGACTGCGTTCCTTCAGTCGCCACTACTGGAAGGTATTGCATATTAGCTCAATTTAAGTTTAGCACTGCTTTTAGCATATTTCACCATCCGATCTCACATCGGAGAGGTAGTCGACCTTGAGCTTCGCCGCTGTTACATGCTCACAACTTGTAATTTGGTCGGATCTCGGCTTACAGTTCCTCTTTCAAAAACGAATAGGCTTGTGTAATAGTGGCGAATCGGCTCTTCCGCGTTATTCAAGTAAGTAGTGGTAAATGCACAAGAAATGGCCCTAAGGGGAGTTTGAAGTGTGCAGTTAATTTTATTCCCCGATCTCATATCCTGAGCTCTGCTGAGGTGCTGCGCACGACTATAATCGTGGTGAGGTGTTATAGCAATGCATCACGGTTAAGCGACGGTTTCGTGGCCGGTTGCTGTTCCACGGCTATGGCTCGCGGACTGGCTAAGTGGATGCGGTTGGAGGGTGGATCAACACTTACCTTTTTGCATTGCTTTTCACTATTTTCAGCCTTAAAGGCAACCGAAATCTATGCAAACAACTAGACACAGTGGACAAAATTCTGCTTAATCTTAGCTGAAGCAACTTTCAGAGCACAATAATTTCATGCCTGATTTGGTGGGAGAACTTGTTCTAGTTTCTGCACATTTTTAAACCACTACATCGTGTCTTTTTAATGTCTCATGTTCTGGGGGAGCTGTCTGTAGACAGGCGACTAAAGTACATCCAACTGTCTGTCAACGATATCGAAGGTCATTTCATTTCTTCCGACGCACGATTGTAATAAATACACAGCTTTTCGAATGTTTCGCATCGGCTCTTTTCGTTAGCGTTGTGGTTTAAGGTGAGGAGGGTAGTTTGGAAATTTGAATTTGACTTTTTGCGTGATATTTTCCCTCAAGAATCAACTATTCTCATACGAATACAGGTCTGGGATAGTCTCTTTTTTTCTCCAATGTTCATGCTTATCACTGCCATCTTATTGCACACACGGGTTTGACTGTGAAAGACATTTCCTAGGTTGCACACACCCACCTCCCTTTCTTATCACAGATCAGAACCCGAAAACGGGGTGTTGACTACACTATCCGATTCAGAGGGGGGAAGAGAGAGGTGCACTTTGTTTCTCTTCCTCTCCTAAGATCTGTTGATGATCACAAGGCCTCCAAGGGGGAAAAGGGATAAGTCACAGAGTCGTGATGCCGAAATCCTCGAATGCTTGGCTCTGTTGTGCGGTAAATGAGAGCGGAAACTGGCAGCACACCTCACTATCACCTATGAAGTCGACAATTAATTTGACATTCAAATTAAATGCTCATTACTGAAGCATTGGAGAATTGGCATTACTGGCACACTCTGTAGGTCAGACCGTCCGATAAGAGTTCCTGGCACATCCCTCGAATGGCTCGTTACTGATGCACTCGCAGCGGTTGGTTTTCCAATCTAACTAATTATTTTGAAAATCATTGTACAAATTTGAGCCCAATGGCTGCATTCAGGCACCTGCTTCGTCACAATTTAGACTCCTCATTGCCTAATAACTATGACAACCAGCTGATTTGGCGTTCTTAAATCAACCAACCTCCAAATCTCACCCTTCCAATCGACGGTCAACATGCTTCTCTATTAGCCTTGATCAGATTGCTCAGTATTGTGATATTATGACTTGGCTCGTCCTCTTATATCCACCACATAGAACGTCATTCCACTGTTGGTGCTGCTCAATTTCATTCCTGAACGGCCCTCTCTCTGGATATTCTTTGGAATGATGATCTGGGCTTCCGTCACCATCGCCGTTGCTATGCTCCTACCATGGTTGGTCATTTTAGCACAGCACATGCTTCGTTAATGCAGGTTTCGACACTAATTTCACCTTTTTCATGCTTGTAAAGGTCAATGCTGCCTGACGTGATTGACGCCTTTCAGTTAAAGCACAACATGCGTTTGGAGTCCATCTTCTACTCTCTCATTGTCTTTTTCAACAAATTCGCTGTGGGTATCTCCCTGGCAATGTCGGCGGGAATTCTGGGGTGAGTGTGTAACGCACAAATCGTCTCCATTCACTGCCTCATCTTTAACCGACACTCGTCTTCTCGGGACTTGTAGACTGGTTGGCTATGACTCGTCCAGTAGTGCCTGTTATCAGCCTCCGGCTGTGGGAAAGACCCTGCGGCTCCTATCTTCTATCGCTCCTATTTGTTTTCTCATCCCCGCCCTAATCTTCCTCTATTTCTATCCACTGGGCAACCGAGAGTTGGAAGAAATGCGATCTAAATTGCTACTGTGAGTGATATCTGCAAGATATACTCATTTCGAGTTCACTTTTGTGATACTTACACTCGATATCGTCTTAATTTAGCCGTTCAAATGCCTCAACGTTGGACATGATGCGCTCCGACATGACAATCAACTCGACTCCATCATCGGAACGGCTTTGAAATTTTCGCTACAAATCACCCATTACGTCAATTTTCATAATTACAGTAGGCACAAAGTCTCTTTTTGCTGTTTCCTCACTCCGTAGCACGCGCAAATGTTTTCCATATGCAGTGTATATATACAAGTGCATATAAATTTGCTGTGCCGGGTGCGCATCTGCCTTCGTCTTCTATGAACATCCAATGAACGTGTGGCGCTTAACTGGAAGATGATGAACGTAGGGTACGAATAACCCAGTTCAGGTGCTTGATTAAAGTCCCAAGTTCACTCATGGGCTGAGGTAGAAGGAGGTAATATGGGCCGCTTCTATCAAGAAGCGGATTCAGTTTGTTAATTTGGAATGAAGGATTTGGTTGCAAACAGGGATAATGGTGGGTTAGATGTGGAGGGTGCATATTTAACTCAGAGAGATACTAGGGAATTAGACTTACGGTAGGAAAGCGGAGAAGACGTCTAGGATGCGTCTGAGGTTTTGTTGTAGTTGTGGTCGCTTCGAAAATGCATTATACTGGTTGGGTATTATTCGATTTCTGGGCCGAGCCAGAGGTCTCACGCTCTTCGATTGGATTTAAAATGCCTACTCTACTCAAATTTTAATGCATTCTTTTACCTATAAAGCTTTCAGCCTAGAATTTCGAGAGGTGATATCAAGACGTTATTTTAGTTAGTTACATCAGAGTTAGTTAGGAGGACAGGTTAGTCGCAAAATAGAGGCACCAGATGGCCGCATCATTAAGAGGAGGCAATGCATATATGACTTTAAGCGGAGTAGATGGTTATGACATTTTCCATTGTTGAGCCAACCTACCTACCCTCAGGCCCCTGAACCTCACACTTAAGGAGAGTTGAGAAAACCCTATTAGGTATCATGCACACAACGAAAGAAATTGAAGGGGAAGGATTAATGAGACGGAAAGCACTTTATCAGGACTGTTCAGTTATAGCAGCTTGAAGTTTAGCTGTCTACCTGTGGCGGTAAGTCGAGACCTCCAGCCTCGCTACCCATTCATAGACGTGATTATCACAATCGTAGAGCCTCAAGAGTATGATTAGAGAGCCATAATTTTAACGCTTGTAATTCGAATCTCCAAATGAAAAAGAGACAAAAGCAGGTAACTACCCTTTAATTGTTTGAATAAATCTGATGTTGCTTAATTTTTTGATAATTGCAAGGGATAGCTGAAAATTCGTTTTGTCTTAAGAATGCACTAATTGAGGCGATCCATTGGCCGAATCATGAAAAAATAGTGACTTTATTTTAAATGTTGAATTAAATTATACGCACTGATTGACACTTGCTTGCAAGTCTAAAATTAGTTGATAAAATCAAGCATAGCAATGCGTTGTATCTGCAGTTTGACATGGGTATGAATAAAGTGAAATAAAAACACTGTAAAATTTTACTCGGCGTTTATGATTGCCGCGTTGTGCGGTTTGTGACGATCGTGTTCTGACTGGTTGACCCTATTTGTTGCATTTTGCCAAATGAATCGCTGCCTTACAAATGTTTGTAGTGTTCTTCGCAGTGCCTCTGTAGTTAGATACTCTGAGAAGGTAATCGTGCTCTTGTGCATTCACGTCCATTTCGCATCAGTTCTCCACTATAAGTACTCGACCATGCGTCATCAGGTCTCAAAATTCTACGTATCCCTTCATTTCATCTCGCCAAACAAGGAGGTTCAGTCATGGGCCTCCACTAACAAAACCAATGATTGAAGACAGAGTAATGCTTGTTCTTCAGTTATATGACAAAATTGATCCCAATAAGGTAACTCAAATAGCCTCTACTTAACAGTCCGCCTATAGCTTACTCTCAAATCTGATCTTGCGAAAGATTTCGGTCTGGATAGTCTTGATATGGTTGAGGTCAATGTGGCAATGGAAGAGGAGTTTACCTTTGATATCCCCAGTGCTGATGCCCAGCGATTGCGTACTCCATTCGATATTGTTCAGTACATCTGCGATAAGCACGATATTTATGAATAGAGTGCTTCACGAAATCTGTTAGCTTACTGTCAGCGCTTACTTTTGAAATAAAGAGCTTTGTATAGATGCTCCTCAAGTTCTCTTGTTATGCTAATTTTTGGTGGATTTCATTCTCTTCGTCAGCTTTGTCACTTTGTTTTGTCAGCTTTGAATGAGCTCGGAGTCGGATGAGGATTTACCTCCGGAGCTGCGATACACAACGGAAGAGGTAATGCGAGCTAAGGAGACAAATCCAGGCATGTTTGTAAGCGCGTGGCAAGCCGATGAGGAAGATATTACCTATTGGTCAAAGAAAGATTTGAGAAGTTATTTTCATCCCTTTATTGACTTGTGTCTGCAGAGGATCCCAAGAAACTCTTTATTCTGTCTGGGCAGCGAGGTGATTTGGAGACTATAAAAAGTGTTCTTCAGACTGAAATTGGACCGGATTGGGCAAATCACCCCTCAAAATTAAAGGAGTTTCTTCTGGCTCATGACGATGATGGCTATACTGCCTTGCATCGCGCCGTTTACTCGGGTCATGTTGAAACTGCTGAGGTTTGTTCATATTGCTTTCTGTGGATTAACTCTAGTTCCTTTTGCGATACGGTGCTCAATTGGAGACCCAAACGGTTGATGGGTGGCGACCACTGCACTCCGCCGCCTTTTGGAACCAATTGGCTTGCGTTCAGCTTCTCTTGGAGGTTGGAGCTGATGTTACCGCTGGTACGGCATTCTGCGTTTACCATTTGCTGAATTGAAGTCCTTTTTACATTGATTCCCTAGCAGAGCTCCACTCTGCGTACAACCCATCGACTATGGTTAGTCCAATAGAAGAGTTACATTGGAAGAGGTGAATAAGTTCACCTGCTAGCTATTTTGGCGACCACTCCTCCTGCGATTCCCCAACATCATTGAATTTCGTAGTCTTCAATTGTATTACTGTTTTGACCTTCATGCTCAGATTGTGGACTGTCTATTCGGACCATTTCCTCTACTAACTCAACAATCAGACTCAACTTTGGATGCAATAGCACCTACTAGAAATGCTAAAGGGGTAGTTCGGGCCGTTTCTCGTGGACCATTGTTCTCTACGCCTATCTAGTAACTACGGATTTAGATGCGTATGGGCTCCTCCTTCCACAGGCCATAAAGGATCTGGCGGCAATACGGGGCCAAGCATAGGATTCATCGTCTGTTCACCAATTCGGTGTTTCTGGGTTCCTGTTTGTCCCATCAGTTACGGGAGAAATTGCGTTAATTACTTCATCAGCAGGTAACTGTTATTAAAAGTTCCGCAGGGACTCGCTTTAACCATTAGCACTTCTATCAGTCCGATGATTAGCACCTTCACGGTGAGATGTCGCAAAGCAACAAGTAACTTTTAAAGTTCACGAACATGTAACAGGGGTGAAGGTAAATGCGCCATACCTCGCGCAAGGCATAAGAGATTGGCAGTACCTGTGTCGCATCCTCCCAAGCTGCGATAGTGAAGCACGCTACAACGCTTAAGAAGATAGAGAAATTAGTATGTTACAATTCCCAATTTCTATTATCTTCATGAATTTTTGACGAAGTGAACAAAGGCTCCACAGTCGTAGGGAAAAGTGCTACACAGGCACAAATACAGTGGCAGATGCGGCGGTCCAATCTTGAAGTCATTCTCAATTCGGCTCTGAAAAGGTTCGCGTTGCTTCGACTTTACCAAGTGAGGTAATTATCAGTAACCATCTTAACAATGTTTCCGACCTCCTCTCTGTGACGCGCCTTGCCTCCTCAGGATATGGTTTTGTAGTTAAGTAACTGCACAATTATCAATTTGAATTGCCCCACTAATGCAGTTACTTAAGCCGCTCCCCATTTGAATTGACAGTGACGAGCAGTGGACAAACCGTTCTGCACCTCGCCTTAGCGAACAACCAGACGGCAGAGACTTTGGTATATCTCCTTTCGCAGCTCTCTGCAGACCCAGATGTATTTGAAAATATATGGAGACACAAGAATGCCTCAGGAGACACGCCTGCGGAAATGCTTGTGCGCAGTAGTTCAATGGGAACATTCCTGCTCAACTCGTTCGGCCCAGAGGCCACAAATCTTGGGACGACCGGTAAGGGCCGAAATGAGTAACCACTAACAAAATGCGTCCTTAGACGCACAGAGTGTTGAATATTTAAAAAAAACGTTTCAAAAACTTGTACGACTTTTCCTTGTGATTGATGAGTAAGGCACAAACTGTGCCCGCAAAAACCAACCGTGAAGTAGACAGAAATGCGTCTCTCTTGGCGAGGGCGTCGAAGAAGAAGCGCCTAAGGGGTACGGATAGGTGAAAACAAAAAATTCTCTATCGACATGGTGTCCTGAAATTGCATCGGAAGGTACGCCATTAACGAATACAGTTCAGTGCTAATGTCCCGAAGACGTAAAACGCGCGGGCAGAGGACGTACACTTCGGGGAAAAAAGGACGAAAATAGTGCGAAGGTGACGCGAAAAAAAATCTTATCTAGCAATAAACAAGCAAAGTGAATGTACCGAAGAAAGATCACTAGTAATAAGGCTCGTAGCGTATTAAACCAGGTAAAAGTTAGACGACACCCAGGTGACAACTACATAACACAAAATGCACTGAAACACTTGTGTCGGAAAGGCCTCGCTGAGATACGAAACGCACGCGAAAAAGTGATTTATTGAGGAACTGCGAAAGGGAGAAGTACACTCATAAGAGAGATAGGTTGTTCCAGTGGGAAGCCCTCGTTCGTCATCCCCATGTATATCACAAAGGGCATGTATCCAAGATGAAAAATCCAACGGAGAAAGCTCAGAAAGCCACTAACATACGACACAATCCTACCCGCCATCGCATACGCCGTGGAGGTTTAAATCGAGCGAGGCGCCCTTAGGTAGAATTAAGACATGTAATTTCCATCGGAAATAAAATAATGTGAAAAGACCCAGCACAGTTAGAACATCATAAAAATGGCTAAATTTAGTGCTGCAAAAAATTTTTAGAATGGCTTTTATAGCATAAAAACTAAAAAATGCACATATACATGATAAATCGGAAACTTTTAAGGTTCGAAATTTTGCATTTAAGTTGAAAACCACATGCCAAATCATTAATGCGTTATACGTACCGAAGGTAATTAAGCAAAATGAATATTTAGTAATGGTTCTAATGCTAACATTATAGGTTCAGCTATAACCTTCTTTTATGGTTTTGTTTTAATTTTTACAATAATCTTCACTGATTGTTCACACATACGAATTTGACCTTGAGATGGATCGTAATAATTTAACGAGGTTCTAAATATGCGCAGGCATGTAGCACTTTTAACATTCATTCAAGAATTTTTGCTACTAACAAGGATTGTCAATTCTGGTATTAACTTTTTTGTTGTTTTACTTGTGTTAGAATCTATCGCAGCATGCTATGGAGAAGACCTCTTTTTAAGCTGCAGCGAGGACAATTTCATTCTTATTAATTTTGCTGCATTTGGATTTTTTGGTATAAGCAACAAATGCAAGGTACAATCAAATGCGGGATGTTGGGTTGATTCTACGTATTTTATCTCGGCTATATGTTCTGGCCACCATTCTTGTCAATCCAAAGTGCGATACTCGCACGATCTCTCCTCAAAGTCACTAAGCAACAAATGCGCAAGTGCCATAGAACCAACGAATCCTTACCTTTTTGTGCAATACTTGTGCATCTCGTCAAGTAAGTTTTATAATGGCCTGAATCCTTTACAGATTCTAACTTTGCGTTGTCCTTTTCAGCCATGTTATCGTCAATGCAGGATATGAAGACTTTTGATGCGGATCACGTCGGTGGTTATATCGCCACACATGACTATCAGTTATCAATAAAGACTCCAGAATGGAGGAATGATTTACCAGAGGAGTATTGTGCTCAGTGGAATTTACCAAGCGTCATTTCACTTCCAGCGCCGGATGTGGGTCTTGGAGTAGTCATCAAACTCAGAGACATTGGTGAACTTTACAGACCTTTGGCCAGTAAGTTTCTCATTTGTCCAACTGCGTAAAATTTTTTTTGAGTCTGAACTCTCAATTTGTCCATGAGCGTATGAAATACTATTCCTTAATTTGTGCATTTTATTAATTTATATAATGCTTTACTCAGAAGCTAGTTGTGTTTTATAAGCGTAGTCTTATTTTTTTGAAAATGACATAACAGTAGTGACTGGTGTTAATATAGTCGAAAGCTTGCTCTTTCAATGGCAAAACAATTATTGGGGTATATCTGCATGATTTAATTTCATTTACACCATCATTTAAATTGTCAATCACATGTTGACTTAGATGTACATTAATGGTATTTCATTTTACAAGAATTTTCCTGGAACTACCTTATGTGCATACAAAGCAAAATTAATAACAAAAAAAATAATTTCTATGGGCAAGTGACATCATAAGTGGTAGCCTTTTCGAATTGCTAAATGTTGGCTTTCCTAATCAAAAATGATTACTATTTCAGCTGACCTTTACGCCGAAGAATGACAATATTTCGTCTATATCTAATAATTAATTTTTTTACTTCAACATCGCCCAACTTAGGTACTGAGTTCTCATTTAATATTTGAATTTAGTCTTAATTTGTGAAGTCAGCTTTTGTCGGTAATTTATTCGAATGCCTCAAGACAACACTTGAATGCCAGAACCCAGTAATTAATCTTCCTTAGAGACGTCTATCATTTGGTCTAGGTCTTCTATTATGTTGAACGGATCTCTCCTAAGTCGCTCAACATTTATTCATCTTGCATTTTTGAAAGGTCACAAACGAGAATTTCTCTTCTCGAAATCACAAGCCTTGAATTTTCATTTAACCTCTCAAAAGACACTCTAGACTTCGCATTAAAAAGGAGACTCTGTGCTCGAGCACATGTGGAGTGAATCATGCGGCCTAAATGGTACCCATATTCCCACGTTCGAGCTGCAAATTCATTTCCTTTATTATTTGGAGAGTGTAAAACACATGCTGCGGTAAACTAGACGTCTACTCGTCATTTAATATGGCTTGCATTGTGTAATTAAAACGTCAGGTCATCAGAAGGTGAATATGTTTGATTCTCTTACGACATTTTGCATTACATTTAATTACATTACTTGCTAGGAAAATGCAGTTTGCGTTGATTGTTTAATCGGTAGCCTGATTTTTTAGCCCTTATTTTTTGTAGGAGCTAAAGACCAGTATTTAATACTTAATAGGACGTTCTATGAGGTATCTCTTTTTCGAGGAAGGTAATTATCAGCAATATTTTTAGTTTGACCACTTTGTCAGTAATGCTGTGGTGCGTGCTTAGAGTGACGTGATCCAATTTTTCACATAGATTTTTGGCTAACTCACCCTTGAGACAAGGTCACGGTAGTTATAAGGAGAACAGAAAGACGACTACAATGTGAATGCAGATTTCGATTTTTAACTTGAACGAGTGCAAATTGTGATGTGCGCAAGGCTGGTGAGCCTATTTTGAGGACAGGATTTTGTGAATTCGAGCAGTTTGAACGCACGCACACACAGACAGTGCCGAGTGCACCCACCAACACACCCGCAACACAGGCAAGAAGCACAACAAGAGCAACCATCATTTTCTTCGCCTTTTTCTCACCGCACGCACACATCGGTATCGGATTGCTCACAGTGAAAAGAGACACACACACGACCCCAAGGCTGATGCCTCTTTTAAATCTTTAGTCAAGGAGATATGTAATCAACGTTCACACAAGAGCACGCGTATAATAGCGTAAATCAACATTGCAAGAAAACTCGATCGATAAATATCGATCGCCAGGTGTGAGGCGAAAGCACTGGTTGCTTCGTCTCTTCATCTTGTATAGGTGCACGGAAAATGAAAGTGCCGATTTTTCAAACAAACAATTTGAAGAAAATTTAGCTCATATTGTTCACACACTCATCGAATTTGTAGTCGTAGGCAAATCACATTGTTTAATTACCAGCTCAGAATAAAGTCTTGATCCGTCAAGGATGCCTTAGTAATCGATTTAATGTGCAAAAGGAGTTACATTTACTAAAACAGATGTGATGCTGAGTAAGTTTAGTTCAATAAGGCTGCATAGCTGTCGATATTGCTTTGTGTGTTTAGTTTTTTCGCATTTGAAGGCCAATTTTACTAAGATTGCAGCTACGTTCACGGAATTTTATTATCAAACAGCCAATTTCAAATAAATGGGTCGTTTATTACTAGTTCTGACTGGGATAAATACAATGTTTTTCACAATCAGCTTTACATCTTTGAAACCGTTGTCGCACCTACTAGTCCGATCCCATGTCTTTACACCTTCTTTGATGGACTCCAAAAGCAAAATATTCATGTTACAAATGGACTTCAATTCTATTAGTTTTACCTGTTATATCATCTTCATGTGTTTACTTAAGTACCTTTTCGATTTGTCTGGAACAGGAGAAAATCCAAAAGTTCAAGTTATTTAGTAGACCATGCAACATCATTTTTTGGTTTCACCAGAGAATAGGACAACATCTAGAAAAGTAGGCAATCAAAGCTAAAAATTAAGTCGCATCTATAATCGTTTTTGTTTACATATTTTTTGAAGGATTCAAATGTACTGTTTTGGTAATTTTGATTAGAGGAAGAAGGAAGAATTAAATCAAAGTGGAACTTTTATGCTAACGTCAACCTACTAGTTGAACGGCTTGTTCTTCGAGAGATTGATTTAAAGTACCCGAAGTATTGAAGCACAGCCTGCATTGTAAGCCCTCATTTTCGTGTCCGCGAATGATTGCATTCACTGTTTTCACAGAACGATTTGTCTCTTATGCGACTCTACACCAAGCTACACAATGGACAGAGATCTGTGTTGAGGCCCTTCTTATACTGGTTGAGTGTTTTTCCTGACTTTTATGCCAAGCTTGGAGATCACCATGCGTGAAGTCATCACTGATGTGTCCACATTCATTATTATAGTTTTTACTGCAATCATCAAGCCTCATGGAACTTTGCAGCTTTTTTAGAATATAACTTGGTTAGTACCAATTGTAGTTTGAGTATCTTTGTTTAAAGTCAATCTTTAGCTTCAACCACAGCTACTCTGTGCTACCACCGTTTTTTGCTAGCAACGACTGCCTATAAGCAGATTTGACTAGATTATGTGCCATAGGGCAGCCGGATGCACTTGTACTACTCGTAGAATTAAAGGTCCTTGCTTGGACTTTGCTAGCTTCTGGCTTGTGTGCCTTCCTACTAAGGCTGAATGGCTAATCATCCTTAAAGTTGGATCAACCTAGCCGAAGGTGATAAAATGTGGACATTTGCATCAGCCCCGCAGGCATCCAAATGTCTTCTAGTCTGGGCATGATAGCAATGATCGGCGTGTAAAGGAGCTGAGTGACCCATGTGGACACATTTCGATGACCACTCCTGCATTCTCCTTAGAGTGCATGCTTATACGCCGTTAAGGTGTATCACGCCGAACACCCTTATTTTGGAAAGTTTACCAAACGTGGAAAGATGTTCTGCAGAGAACGTTTGGTCTGTGCTATTTGCGTCTCGTGAAAACATTCACACAAATGGGAGACCAACTTTGGTTTTTTGTATTTCTTGTCCAATCTTATCCTGTTTATTTAGATCGTTGTCAAGATCGTCTGTTAATGCAATGATCTCCTTAAATCAATCTAACAATCATAACCCACAGTCGTACATTTTATTGTACTCTAGTAACTTCTGCACTGGAAGGCTAACAACACAGGCTGTAATTTTGACACCACCTCATGTCAGGTGCCATGAAATATGATCTAAGGAAGCCGATAAAATGAACTCGCTCACTCGCATCAAACTATAATGGTTATAGTAAAGTGTTAAGCGATCTGTGACTCATCGTCATACTTTGAGTTTGGCGACTCGTTTGGTACTCTTGCTGCCATCGTCACACACGTGTTTTCCTCCAATTTTCTTGGTAACGCTCGGCGTCACAGATGTAACGGAATAAATAATGGCGGTTTGTGTGACATCAGAACAATGGAATTTTAAAAGCAGAGTCGATTGTCCGTCATGACCTTGTTGTCGACAATCGTCCTCTTCACAGTCGGAAGTTGCGATCGGTGTAACCGGAGCAAACAAAGCCATACTAGACGGCCTATTTTATGTAATTTCGCATGAAAGTGAGGAGGGAGGGGCTTGGCACTAAATAATACCTTTCTCTTCTCCCCTATTACCTCCCAAAATAATTTATAACGTCTTAGACTGTCCCCTCTGCCTTGTGTCACTAACATTGCCTTAAAAGTAGAAATGTTTTTAATTTCATTTAGGTGAAACAAGCTCGTAGAGGTCTCTGTAGAACAATAGCGGCCGCTTTGATCCCTTCTTTTTGCTTTAAAGTGTAGTGTTTGACACATTCCTCTGCTGCGTTCTTCGTAGTCGGTGGAATACTCCGATCTCAGTTGTCATGGGATGGAATTGCGCATTTGAAATTACGAAGATGTTTCATTGCGAATTTTTGTGGTTATTCATACTGCGGTGAGACAGTGGATTAATGGGTCGCCGAAAAAGCAAGTTTAACAATGTCGTAGAGTAAGGCGGTACGCGATCATCCGGGAAACAAAAAAAACGGATGATTAAGAAAGCGACTTTTTTCTACTCCACTTGTTCATTGGCTCCCAGTCCGAAGGAGGGTTCTGCTAAGAATTAAAAGGCAAATAGAATGGGTCATACTCGCTATTATAATAATATGACGACGTGAAGAGTGTGAAAGGTTTGGATGCCTTGTGGCGATGGTGTCCAGGACTGCAACCGTCTTCTGGAGGTGCGACTACGTGCTGATGACTTTCGCTATTCCCCTCTCTGGTAGCGCTCCAGCCTTTATATTCACGAGTTTTCGGTGCACAGATGAAGTTGTCTTTACAGCAATCTCGGCTTAAATTTGTAGCATTTTAATGTTTTGCTAAATCTGGGCACAAATTTTTAAGAATCTAAGGGGTTGTAACGAGCAAATTTGACGAGATATTTAACCAAGCAGCTTCGGTATAGTCATTCCTGCATCTTATTAAGTGGGGAGCTAAAGGAATAGAATCCTTTTTATAGATGCTAGTTCACTTCTACAATTAGATCGCTTTTTCTCTAGATAAGTTGAAAATTCATTTATCTGTCCATCCATTCACCAGCCTATCCTGTCATCTCACACCCTCCTTATCTGGCCGCTTAAGCATTTGCTTACCATATCACGGAGTACTCGGTCCATTCGAAAGATTGCGACCGCTCGCCGTAGCAGGACTCCTCATTGACACCACAGGGGTGTCAAACCCATACCAATATAAACTATGAACTTTTCTGCTAAAGCATAACCCACCTGGAATTTTCATCAGTGGCGAGAGAAAGCGTCAGGTTCTTATTAGTCTTCTGCTTCCTTGTTCACAGTCCCTGACCCTTGCATCACTCCTCTACTTTCGTCTTCCCTTATTCATGCCACTTCCTTCTCATTTTTCCCACCGTCCCCTCAAGTTACCTATCTTCCACAAAATTTTACTTAGTAGTCACAAAGAGGCCCCTTTCCCGCCATTCTCGGCCATATTTTCAGGGGAACTCCAAATCACCATGACTGCAGCCGAAAGAGCGAGTCAGCAGTCCAAATGTCTTTTGTTACACTTTCTTAATCCACTCAACTCTAGAATAAAGTGGAATAGTTCGATTGGAGACACAAAGGAATCGAATTAGGTGTAGTTTACAATGAACTGGAGGCAAAAATGTGAAATCATTACTGAAAGTCTCCAAAACGAAAACCCATCATGAGGAAAGCACTAAATTTTTAGAAAAATAAATTGTTTTTCCACAATTTTGACCAAGTTGCAGAAAGATTACAGCTTTTTTAATACTTTGCGTCCCTTTCAGTCGTAACAATTTTGATGGGCAGTTGACTCGGTAATGTACAAACCACCTTTTTTCATTTTCTTGTTTATAAAATAATTACTTCAATCAACTGAGTGACCGCTACATTTCGCCCGCCAAAATTGGCAGATCGAGTAAGAAGTGGTTAAATTGGCAGAGCTCTGCATTATGCCTATCACAGAAGTGATCTTCTCTACTTTCAGCTAATACTTAAAGTAAGAGCACCACTTTTCCCCCTTTCAAAAAAGTGGTGGACATGGCTCGGTATTCTGTTGTCCGCAGCAGGAAAATTAGAAAGTGATATGATTAGGTGGCATCAAAGGGAGGCAAGGGGCTCTACACCGTAAGCTTCGTCTTCACTTCTGCCTGCTGCTGTGATCTCATTGACACCTTTTGTGTGAAGGGCAAGCACGAAGCACCACAAAGGGAAACTTTTCAATTGGGGTGGCAGGCGGCACATTGTCACTCTCTTCCTACCCATTCCTTCCTCAAAAAAGGTTTACACTTTTGAAAGATCGACAGGTCCACTTCACGACCCTGATGCGGAGGTGTGTGCTTATGTGTTTACGTTGAAAACAGCCATCAATTTAGCCAGTCACTCAGACGCAAATGATTGACTTTTATGACTTAGCGGCATTTTAGGATCCAATTAATGTAATTGCAGCTTAGGAATGCCGATTTAACATTTTCATTGCGTTCAAGCAGATCAGCTGGGCAAAGTAGTTGAGAAACAGCTTTACCAGTGGTGTTGACATCCTGAGTCCCCTTTGAGTGGCTTAAGACCAGTCATAAAGAGGTTGAGGATTGTTGATGTATCAAAAGACACTAAATTTAAGTTGTTGGGCCTTCTAACTCACAGTGTGTCAGCAACCAGGTTGAGAGGTCAAAACGCTGGTTCATTCATAAAACAACGCTTGGAAATCGCGCAGACGCTTCTAAGGTAGTATGCTAATTGAATCCTTCAACACGTAAAGTTTTAATGCTGCAGCTGATTCAAGAGACGCGTTAGTGATCATCTTGGTCGTGTGTGCTCTAACCGATCGCCCTTGCATACCTTTGGACGGTAATTGGAATGCACTCCAAATAACCGAAAGACAGAAATTACTGACCCGAATGATCATGGATTCCTTTCCTTTTTCTCCAACTTTAGCAACTGAAGATGATCTTGATGCATTGGCAGCAGAATCTCAATCTCCACAGAAGCTGTCCTATAAAGGAGGTCTTCTTCCTCCCCCTTCAGCCTTTCATTGCCCTCCCAGGTCCGCTGGCACTTCCTGTCTCTCCGATTATCTTCAAATGGACATCACTACCGCAGTCACACAAAATCGTCTGCGTCTGGAGATCTGTCCTTACGCCAGTCAAGTTGACTGGAGTGCTCCAATCGCCAATGGTGATATCCGACAGTCGACGAAGAGAGAAGAAGAGGAGGATGATTTCTATTATGGATTTGCCACAGCTGCTCCTGGGACTCCTGGCTTGGTGTTCGGGCCACTCTACAACTTTACTTCCATTGACTTTGAAGTGAATTTTCAGCTAGGAGGTGAAGTAAATCATCCAGATGGAGGCAATGTTTCATCGATAATGCGTCACGGATGGGTTAAAGGCCTACTGTTTGAGTACATATGTGAGTCTTCTCCAACCACCCTATTATCAAGAAAAACTGGCAGCGAATGCAGTGTTTTTAATCCGTTATTATAAGTTCAAACAGCATAACAACTCCAAATTCTTAGCAAAACCTACCTACATGTATACTAGTGACGTATTTAGACAAGCGAATGCTAATTGCTTTTCTTCGGAATGAAAACGCAACACTCATGTTTTCAGATGCAATGTAAAAAGGGGAAGTTTCATGCTTAGGTCGAGGTTGTGATCCCTTTTGATAGGTTGTTCGGGGAAGTCAATGTCATTGATTTTGATAGGCGTATATCTGATAGCCCAACAAGTCAAAACTACCTTAACATTGCCGAGAGCAAGCAATAACTGAGGCCGGAGAAAGCGACACATCCTGCAGTTCTCATAAACAAGGGTACAACTTCACTTGTGTTTGGCAGTGATGTTTTTTCCATTTTCCTTCTTAAGTAACATCTCGTTCCTCGTTCCTCTTCCCCTTCACGCATCGAAATTTTCCATCGAGATGCCACATTTGGAAATAGAGGGAGTCATTAAAATAATACAAAATCAATAAGCAAAATCATTAAAAGAGGACATATTATTGCGTAACACGACAGGCACGTGCTTTAATCGATTTTGCAGGCATAAATTTTATCGATTTGCAACTTCAATCTTGTTCGTTCTTCAAGGTAAACAAGCTGATTTTGGTCTTGCAGACACAATGTTTTTTACTTTCCTCTAAACCAGGCGCTTCAAACTCGTAAATAATGGCAAGCTTTCAAAAATGCTACCCTGTTTAAAATAAAAATGTAATTATTCTAAGAGGGGTTAAGGCGCAAATTATAAAGAAAATGTTGGTCGAAACCTTATTGATAGAGAGGAGTAAGGAATGGGAAGACACCTTATTAGGACTTCCACAATGTATTAAATTGTTGAATAAGGCCTCATTATTGCCAATTATTTTTGTGTTTCACTGCATTGACAACATTTTATTTGAATAGGAGAACAATTGCATTCCATTTGTATTAAAGAAGGATGGCTTTTTAATAACATGGAGACTATCGGCACATGATGTCTTTCTAACTTCCCTCTTTATGTATAAATTGGCTCTACGCGGATTTAACTTTGTGTAGTAGTCATCTGCTGCAATATTAATTCACGTTCCTATCTTCGCTAGCACGCCAAAATAAGCCAGGAGTCTTGTCGAACCGAGGAAATTTTAAAGAGATGCATTGCAACCGTGTGACTGTGTCATTTGTTTTCTTCCATGGTACGAAGGCGATGCAGCTAAAGGGGTGGGCAATTCGAAAAACAACTTGGACGATCGCTTATTAAAATATATGATTAGACAAAGTTCAATACAGTGTGCAGCATTTCTTCTCCTTCCAACTTTCTTTGTTGCCTTGCCACTGACTAATCTTTCCCTTTGGGAATCACAAGCTAGCCAAATTCTAAAAATGAAGACAAACGCCCTGAAATGACTGAGAATCTGTTTGATCACAAAGCCCCCAATTCATCTTGCGCAGTCTCCACAGAACTGTAGACTAGGCCGTCTTTTGTGCCAATGGTTGGTCATAAGAACAGCAACCAAAAAAAGTATTATTGTTTATGAATGTGATGAATTTGAGGTTGGTTTGCTTTAGTGCTTTTTGTCTTCGTTTTTTGAGCTGGTAGAGACAGAGGGGCTGTTGCACGCTTAGCTAATTGACAGCTCCCCGCATTCATCTTTGCCACATGCAAAACGAATTTCTGAAGAACGCTTGGATTCGGATGATTGTTCAAGACTGAAGTCTTTTTCACTTTCTGGTAGATGGCCTTCTTCTGCTTGCCATAAATCACTCCAAAACAAAGCACTTCTCCACTGAAGTCGGATCCGTTTTCCGTTGTCATCACTGTGGAGCTTTAATTCTTACCCGGCTTCTTAAAATTCATTGCCGAAAGTCAGAAAATGTGATTCGGCTCTAAGCAAGAGCTTAACTTTTGCACTCGGTCCATGGGTAGTGCGACTGAGCAAAAGCGTAACTCGTAAGCATTAAAATGCTTTAGAAATCAAACGCCAATGTACGTAAACCACTTAAGCAGTACACCTTTAACGTTAAATTATTTCGAAGGTGTCCAGGACAAACTTCCGACAATAAAACACTAAGTATGTAGTCAACGAATGCTTTGAAACTTAGCTATTAAAAAGAAAACAGTTGCTAGGTATTAAAGTTTGGTAAAGTATACTACTAAAATGACTACGAGTAAATATACTCGGTCATTTATTCTTATATACCAGAAAACCCATCTTGACTGTCAAGGTTAGTACTGTTAACAAGATGTGATTCGAAGGAGGGTATCAAGTTCATGTAAAGTCATGCCGTCATGGGAGATCTACAGAATGTCTACTTTTGTCTACCGTCCCAAGACTTTATCGTTGGCAGGGGAAAGGTTTTGGCATGACTTGAAATCTAGTACTTTTCGCAGGGCGAGTATGACCACTCAAGCGACCACAACCGGCATTGGCAGTCAAATAAAAAAAGTACAATTTATCCTTTCTCTTCCTTTGGCCTATGTGCCTGGCTCCCCCCTCACTTAACTTCTTGTGCCGTTTTACATACAGTAATCGGTGCTGACAGACAGCATCCACGATCCAGCCGCACCTGTCACCGCCTTCCACTTGACTGAGGAAAGTACTTATCCTTAGCGTCACTGATTCGCTCAGTGGGTTCGACTAACCTCAGGGTTATTCTCGATCTGAAAACGGGTCCCGATAACTGGAGTTTTTGTTGTCCATCCTGTGAGACAAAAGTTAGACATTGGAACACTGGCTTAAAACAGGCACACAATAAGAGAAAGGGGTCTATTGCAGTATTATGGCAATAAGTTATTGCTTACTTTCATTGGACCAATTTTTTTGCAAGAATAGAATAAGGAGACTCTATGTTGAACTCGCCTCATCTGTAAATAGCTTTACTGTGAACTACAGGACTGAGCGTTATTTTCAGTCCTTTCGTTGTAGAAGCGATGGAGCTTCTCCCACAAAAGTGTGGGGACCAGGGTAGGAGTGGTTCTAAGGTGGGCTCGCTTTTCACTGCCACCAACGTGGCATCATGAGGCTTTTTCATGGACGATGGATGGAATTGTGCTCGGTTGGAATGCATATAACCAGATATTGCGCTAATCTTCATGGCCTGGGCACCAACCCACTCCACAGAAACTGTTTATCCACTCATTTGATCAAAGTTACCTTCATGTTAAGAAATCAGACAGCAACCTTTAACAAAAAATTCGCAACAATCAGACAACAGATTATTGAAACGGTCTCACAACTTTATTTACAACCTTATAATTACTCATGACATGTGGCATGTTTCTACACTCGAAAGTTCCTTAAACATTCCCTGTTCCATCAAATAAGTAAGCTGGCATACAGTTTGAGGATTGGCACTAATCTCTTTTTGGAGGCGTTTCTTTTTTAATGTGCCACGCAGCAGTAAAATGTATCAACAAACAGAATTCCGTGAACTGGGTGAAACTCCCAAATTACAGCCGTTCATTTGGCACTTTTGAATTGCCGCAGGCTGATATTTGTATGCAATGAACCCTCCTTAAACAATGCGCCAACTCCTGCTAGATAGGTGAAGGGATGCATTTTTGAAATGATCGACATTAGTACCTTAACAACGTGTAATGACAATCAGACGGTAAGTCTGATGCTGATTTTGATAATCATTTCAGTCTTAAAATTTATAAGCAGTTGTACATAATAATTGTACATAATTAATAAATAATTAATTAATTATTTGTCCTAAATTCCCCTCCTCAGTACTCTATTGCCCCCCGCTGCCAACTGACTTTGAGGTTGGAGGTCAGGTGGGCTATTCGCTGCACACTCACACCGATGCCACGGGAGCCACAGTAGCTGTTGCTGAAGTTCGCTGTCTGCCCGATCGATTCTTCCTTCCTCCCTACATTAGCGATGCGGACGTCGACTTCAACTTGGTTGTTAATGGCACCGTGAGCCGCCTGAGTGACTACGAGCCTCTAAAGAGCCAAATGGTGCTTAGGTGCGACCACCACAGGAGGCGGTGGATGCCTGATCTGCCCAATGGAGGCTGTATGACTCGTGAGTGAGATGTAATTAGTGAACATTTTGAAATTGAATGCAACATTGTCTATCTCTGGGGTAGCGCTTTCGACCAAACAGTCTCACCAATTCGCATGTTGTAGGGTCCCTAAAATGGCGAGAAAGGCTTAAATCATCTGATGTCAACAAATCATAACAGTCATGTAAGTGTTTGTTGACTTCATCACTGCAATGCGGAGGGCATAACTGAGTCGTTGTATTAAAATGTAGATGGAGGGAAAGGAATGAAGTACACTATGACCCCAATCATGAATTAGCAGACATTTGTATAAGTATTGCGTAATTTCGTAGAGTATCTTAAAACCAGATAATGTGTATGATAATATCAAATTGGATGTCATGGACAAACCATGGATGCATTTTACGTCTCTTTTACAAACAGCTTGTTGAATTTTAGATGTCGATCCATTATAATTACCTTTTTTACTTCCGACTAATTCCAATGTGGAATGAACAGCTGAGGCTCCATGGGCAAAAGTTGACTAATGATGAGGTTATCTGACAGGACAGAAGCCCTGCTGTGCATAAAATGCCTTTTTCGGTGGAGTAAAGTATTTTTATTGTTGCCAGCAATCTAAATTAGATTAAAATGCAAGCAATTCATTTACCGTGCTGAAGATTTGGAGCTGACGTTGAGATGGTAAGTAATGGCGATGTTTAACGGGGTCGAACATCCATCTTCCCATACACACGTTTACAATTGTGAGATTTTAATACTTAAAGACAAGTGCCAAAGCCTGCTGTGACAATTGAGTGACAGGAGAAGTGAAAGCAAGAGATTTTGTAATGATTAAGGATGACGTATTTCTGACTGCGCTGACATCTTTTTTTGTTTCGGTGCTTAATTTTTTAGAGCTTTCTTGCCAGCTTCTTTCCTTATGTGCTCCTCAGTAGGTCATTTAAACTGCAGCTAAAAAAAATTAGTCAAACGTTGTTGTCGTCCTTGTTATTCATATTGGTTCCATGTTGAATCGCCTACTTGGGACGCGACTCACTTTGTGCTCACGAGCAGCAGAAGCGCCTGCCAGATGGGAACTTCCCACTTAGATAAGCTATCAAGCCATCTCAATTGTGCCACATGTTCACTGGCTAGCTGCACTGTTTTCCCACCAAATACTCCGTTTGTCAATCTCCTTTAACGTCATCTGTGCCATTGGATCGCGTAACCTCGCAACGGTTGGCAGTCTTGACAATAAAATAATCACTCCATTACTACTTCGATAAGAGTTGCTCTCAAAAAAATGCTGGTCTAGAATAAGCCAACGTTTCACACTATTCTATCCATGAGGTTTCAGATTTAGTCCTTTAATCAATTTCATTAGTTTTCAATCCAAAAATAATCAATAAAAAATATTGGCGAATTGATAGACTGATAAGAGTGGGCGACCATTGAGAGTCGGGCAGAGAATTACATTATAATAACATTTTCAGAACTACATTGTTAACATCATACACAACCAAGGTGTCAGATTAAAGTTAATAGTTTAATTTTTACAATTTCTTACCTTTTCAGGCACCTTGTTGAAAGGCAAACGAAAAGAGACGAGCGTAAAAGCTCCCCCTTATTTAATTCAATTTATGCATTATGCAAAAAAACCTGGTTTTATTTGTCTCCTTTGTCAGTTAAAATTGGCTCAATACTAAAGCATTCTATTTATGCTTTTGCTCTCTTCGCCTCCTTTTTTATCAAATAAAGAAATCGCTTAAGTTATTGTAGGCTATGAACTTGATACCTACCATCTTCTAGCGACTTGACGCACTTTATAATAACAGAGACAAAAAGCAATAGTTAATCGCATCATTAAGTGCCTACAAAGTAATGATAAAAAATTGATTCGCGCAAGGATTGGAAATGTCACTTGTGTCAAATTACTGTAAAATGAGGTGGTGTGACAGTCCTAAGAAGGATGTCATGGTGACTAACGCCTTGGCAACGCTATCATTTATATTTGAAATATTTATTTATTTATTTAAATGCAGGTGAGAGCATTGATGCCACCTTAAAGGCATTGGTGAAACCCAAGTCAACTGCAAGAAGTCTTCCCAACACAACACAGGCCGTTGAGAAAAAGATGAGGACCAACTCGGTAAAGTCCATGGAAGTCACAACAAATAATACCGCTGCCGCCATGACATTGACAACCACGACTCCTGAGGCACCAGTCCTCGTTGCTCCCTTGAATGCACCTGTCAAAAGTGATGGAAATAACAAGAGCATAGGAAATGGCTCTAGTCTGTCGCATGGATCTTCTGGTAGGCAGTCAAGTTAATTCGATAAACCTACATCCCTCCCACCATTTCCTACTAGGTCGCTCAGTATGTATCTCTTTGATAGCACTGCACCGTACCTTGGTCATGCTCAAATGTGTCAAACAGGTAGTAAAGACGTATTGTAAAAAGTTGTTTGCTATTTTTACGTCCTCATGCTGCCTTTTAAGGGTATGATGCAAAAATTGTTGCCTATTTCAAGATTATTGTATTCATAACACCACGCACGAATCTGACCCATAGATTTTGAATAAAGTCAGAACACAATCCAATCGATACATATACATACCTTTTATTATGAATTTTAAAAATGTGCGAACGATGTGAGCACCATAAAATAGCGAGGAGTGCACTAGAACTAAGACACTATTAAATCAGACGATTTTTTATTTTTTTTATTTTTTGCTTTGAATGCAGATTCCAAGGCGTCGTTGGCACTTTTCCTTTCTAGCGCCAAATTCCACATTTTTGGTATGGCTTAATGACATTGTGGGCAGTCCGTGCGTTGATTTTCGTGCAATCTTTTGTGCTCACATTCACGCAATGCAGTGACAAGTCAAATCAATAATTATCGATCTGAGCGACTGTATCGTGGCTGCATAAGCTAGCCTCGCCTCTGCTTTGGATATCAACTAGCTAGTTCATTGACTATATATATATATGTACAATCTCCAGCTCACTGTGAGGCATGAGTTTAGAGTGTACGAAAAACATGTAAAAAGCACTATTATGCTACTTATACTGAATTTTAAAATAAGTAGGTGGGGTGGAATTTAAATAGCATGATCTTGTAAATGTGTGCTAATTGATATAAGTGGCCTAAATCCTGTCTCATCTTAGAACTAACAGTTTAACCGCCTTCCGTGCAAAATTTCTACATCGGTTAAGGTGAGAGAGGGTGATTGACCATTACTCATACATAAACAGTAACGGTTTATACGACGCTCAATTGGTTATAATTTGGAGCGCATGACCCAGGTGTCACTGCTAAACTCTATCGTTATTTTGGTTATTCTATTTTCTTCTGGTAACGTAGATTGTACTTATCGTGGCAAAGGAAAATCCCAACCTAAGAAGAATTTACGCCTAATTTTTATTAACTTTTAGCTGCAATGGGGGCAATATTTGGATTCATTTTGTGTCTCATCGTTCTCTTAATCATCGTCTTTATTTTTCGTCAGAGGTAATTTTGCTTTTATTTGTGGTTTTTATGAATAACATTGATTCTATCTACCTGAAAGTTCACCTTAATTCCCATGGGATCGAGGGTATAAACATGTTTCTACAATCAATCACAATTTACTAGATTAAGAAGCAGCTCAAACAAGTTTGGTTTTTTTAACTTTTGGTTGCATGTAAGATGTGCACACGCATTAGCTAAACTCGAATAATTTTATATTCTGTATGTTAAGCAAGATGGACATTCGAATTAACTGTACTTAATCAAATTTTGTATGAATTCACCACAACCGTTATGATTTAGAATTTATTCCGAATTTTCTTTCTCTGCATAGGCATAAAGTAATGCTTCTGCCTCGACAAACTGACAACCAATACGGTTGTAGGAAATTATTGCCCATACTTTTGACTGGTTATGCAACCTATTTGGGATTGGTCAAAATGCAATTTTGAGAGTTACTGAAGTGTTTAAAAAAATTAGCAAGTACGGGAGAAAATCTGATACATCTTTTCCTTTTTTCGGCAATAAAACTTGACTTCTGAATGTCTATAAAAAATGGATCTCCAACTACTTCTTATTAATTTAATTTGAAGGCTTTCACGATTGGTTCGTTCTAAGTTGGCAACCAGCAACACTCTCCCTGGTCGATTCCCGGGCTCTGGAATGTTTATGAACACCCTCTCGGGTTCGCTTACTTTCTCACGTCATCGCAAGGGCCATTACTTCTCCCCCTCTCGCCACCCTAACGTCATAATGTCTCAATCCGCAGTCTCCATCCCTCATCATCCTCAACAATGGCTTAACGGTTCCAGCGTCAGCGTTGTCAAACCCACGTCCGCTGCAGTCTCACTTGGTAATCTTCATACTTCGAAGCCATCCCTTTCTCGCCTTCCTCCACCCTCCATGTCTCCGACACAGGCGAAAAGGCCTATGTCGGATTTGGAGCTTGGGCTGCCAGATGCATATGGGCTGCAACAGACATTGCATAACAATGTCCAACAACAGCCTGGACCACCCTCTTCGGTGACTACGCCTAACTCGACGTCGCTAAGCACACAAAGGCAGACTCTCCTCTCAGCGGATACGGTGACGACTAATATATCAGCCGGACAGCCATCACCTACTATTACAATGGGGTATTGCGGGGCGTCGGCAGATAGATTAGCAGAAGGATTTGTTGAGCCCCCTGATGTTAACCAGGTAGGCGAACAATAGTCACACACTGAATTTGAAATGGGGTAACCCGATATTTTAACATGAAACTATTTAGCAAGCATAAGCAGAATTAATTTGTCATATCAACTATTAGAAAGGTCTTTAACTGACCAAAACATCAATTATTGACTCAAATAGCATTTGAATAAGTTAAGATGTCTTCTATATTCTGCCTTTTTTGGTACTTCAAATGTCGACTACAGTTTAAATTTTGTGTATACGGGAATTTAATTTGAAATTCATTCTTGTGATTATAATTGCAGCTGAATACCTGGAGGACCCTTCGCTTGTCAAATTTTAGCGACATCCTTTCATTCTTTGATATATTTGTGGGCGTTCTTATAAAAGGGACGCTACTGTTGAGCCCCTTGATGCCATTTACTTAGGCGGCGTTTATGGCAAGTGGGTCTAAAAGTGTTGGTTCTACTGTGTAAAAAATGTCATATTTATTAACTTGGGCAAATAGACCTTCACAGGACCAAGATACGCGTTTCTGGATGGTCGATCATTTAGCTCTTGCCTAAAACATCTTCCACATATATCTCTGCAATCCTCTTAGGTTTTTTCGGCAACCCTCCCTTGGAAATCGAAGCCTCAAGGTGGTGTTGCGGGTGGACTAAAGCGTCTTTCAACATTCATTCGCTCCGCTATGAGTGGATCCTCCGCGTCCTTCCACGGTAATCATAGTAATCATGGCAATCACCATCACCAGCAGATGATTACACCTGGAGTTGCAAGACGGCAAAACTTTGCCTCCTTCGCCTCCTCACCCAGTTCTGCAGCTAACTCAGCAGGTCTGCTCAGCTCTGCTCAATCAAGGTCCAGCTATACTTCAGATGTTACTATTCAGCCTGGTGAGTACTGGAGGCGAATGCTCAATAAGCAGCGAAGAAGTGAGATTTTGCTGCATTTTTACGTGCACGTTTCCTACACTAGTCCAGAAAGACGGAGGCACTGGTGTCGTAGGGGTGTGATATGCAAGACAATCACTCCTTATTTCGAGAAAAATGTTAAAGGACTAAAGGCCGAAATGTGAAGAAAATTTTGAGCAACTACCGATAAATTTTAGTGAGGCATTATAAGAATTTGCGAATCTTATTTAATTTTTTTGGTTCCCATAACAGTCCCCTCCCCATTGGGATCACTGGGTCGAAGAAGTCTAGGTCAAATCCCGGTCGATCGCAAAGCTCAAGTGTGTCTCGTTGACCCCTCAATGTGCCATTTAAACCATCAGCAGAGGGATGCAACCACTCCCACCAATGCGATTGCGACCACACCTGGTAGTGGGACAAGACGAGGAGTCAGGAAGTCGACCCCATTGCCTCCACTTCCACCCATTCATCCCCATTACTTCAACACCAACCAGCAGCAATATCAACAGACGCAAAAGCTAATGCAAGATTCCAATTCTTTGTTGGCAAGTATAGTATTGCTAATCAAGTTCTTCCCTTGCCAAAATAAAAATGCGTTTGCCTTTCAACAAATACTTCTCCGCATATGCTTTACATGCCTACTTCATACCACTACATAGCAATTTACCCGTTTTCAATCCTTCGTCTGTCTCTCCCTTCATATACGTGCCATTGTCTCTCTTGCCGTCTGCGTCTTGTGGCTAAACGTTTTGATGCATTCGACTCTCAGGGCCACGGAACCGACGGAAAAACTGCAACACTGAACATGGACACTTACTTAGAACCCATCGATGGTGTAGACTCTTTGGGTCGGTCAGACACCAACCCCGCGGTAGAAGACCTTTCTGTCACTGAGTTGATATCTGGAGGCACCTTCTCTGAAGGTATGAGTTATTTTATATCGTTATATTTGAGCGAAACAACCCAATAGTACCAAGAAAAAATAAAAATTAGAACAACCACTAGTCCCTTTATGAACCGAGCCAAGTTTTTGTCCATAAGTAATCAGCAGAACCTTAGAGGAGTTTAAATCTGTTAGTTTGAGTTGAAAAGTTGAGTAGAATGAGTTAAATGACCGCAACTATAGGGACTATAGGCTGCATCAGTTGTGTTGAAGTTGGATGCTTCCTTTTAAGTGCAATTCTTTCGCGTAAATAATGAAGAATATTCACCTCTCTTTTTGCATCCAATACAAGAGGTTAGGATCGCCAAAAAGACGAAGCTGTCCCAATCGCATATAAAAGTGGCATTTGTTAAATTCCTACCAATATCTGATCTTGACACTTGAACGCCTTCGATACCATGTCATAATGATTGCCAAATTCTGTCACCAATGGTTCAACAACCACGCAAGTATTTACAAGGGTATTTTGGTTACCCTGGCCCCATTCTCATCTCGGAGCCTAAAACTACTTTAGATCCAGCAAATAATGAATCCTTTGCTCATCATGCAATACACAGTTGGATACGAATTAACGTCACTCAATTCCCAACAGTATGGTGATTAGATTTCAAATGTTTTAAGCTAGCATCGGACTGGGGAAAACCGTGGGAGCTTGCATAATCGCGATAATTTCATTACGAGTTGATGAGGTCTTTTGGAACCTGTCTTCTGCAATTACTCTAGATAAAGTAATTTCACTTGTCACCTGTTCTTAGCTGATTAGTCAATATTATCGATCAGCCAATCTGCGAACAAATCCACCAAGAAATGCACTCATAACCTAGGTGCATACATGAAGTATTGATTTCGCTCCTGCCGCTTAACATAATTGATCATCTCCGAATTTGCAGCTGACTTAAAGCCCATGAGGACGAGGTACTTCGTGCTCCGTTAATAGGGTTTGTTGTTTTAATGAATCATTCTTGTTGGATAACATTTTAACTGTTGCTGATGCATCACGCCGTTGCTCTGAGTCAAGTGTGATAGATAGTACGGTGAATTTTTCAGATCCAAAAAAATCATTTATAACAGCTTATAGGGTTTTCATTTAATATTCTTAAAATTGCACTTTGGGGAAGGCGCCCTAGTTTATAGCGTGTTGTTACCGTGAAATGGTTAACCTTTGGAACTTTGTCGAAAAGTAAGTAAATGGATTTGTTTGGAGGCATAAGGGTCTGTGTAGAATGGACAAAAATTGGTCTTGCGTAGCAGTTTGTCTAATTCTTACAAGATCACTAAAACTGAATTTCTTCCCTTGGATCTATGTAATAGCCATTGATTTGCAAGTCCCTTATAAGATGCTTTAAATGCAATCCAACTTCAAAATATTAATTACCTCAGCATTCTGTGAGTTCCTTGAAGTATGTCGAGGAGTGTTATTCATGTATGGAAGAGCTGACTTTATCGGAATGACGGGCGGAATCTCTAGAGCAACGGCTTAATTGACTACCTGACTAAAGTACCTAGGAATTGCTGTGCATGGCTACTCCCTTTATTTTATCATCATCAATGTAATTTCCCTGCCAATTTCTAGTGCTGGTCACCGGTGTAAGAGAAAGACTCTAACTAACCGTTCCGGTCATAGCGGTTTTGTACAGCTAAGATTAATCTTGACAGAAGGGCCACTAATCCAACTCTGCAATTTATTTTGGCAAAATGAGTGTGTAAATTATCACATTTGTCGAGTGCTAGTTGCAAAAGCATAAAGCTACTGGCAGATCTGTTGAACAAGGTAAGGAGGTTGCATTGGTTAGTGAGGGTAGAGTTTTGTGTCTACTGCCTTTTTGTTACATTGTCCTTACTCCGTCATTATTAAACCCTGCATCTCAGCAAGTAGGCGGGAAGGAGGTTTCGCATTTTCACTTCGCTGACTTCTTACTCATAAGTTTGGCATTTGACCGTTGACCAACTCCAAATGTTTCTCCATCACAGATGGTGTGCCTTTTGGTGTGAATGGTATTCCTGCAAGGCACGGGATCTTATTGTTTTCAGAGTTGGGGCTGTTTTCCTTCAATACATTAAAAGCCTTCGGAAATTTGCCTCTTATTGGATGGTTTCCCACTTCCACCACGTTTGATTTTCAGGTCAGCTTCGGATTCGCCTATCACTGTCACCAGTAAAACAATTCGAGTTCTTGAAACTGGAAGATGCCATTGGATTATGATGAAACATTATTACTAACGCAATAAAGAGATGAATTAAGAAGCATTTACGCTAATCATTGCCAACAACATCAGTATGATTAGTAGTCCTTTCTTTGCTTTGATAAATAGAGAATACAAGAGTTAAATTCCAGCCTATTCAGCGGATTAATTTCGACTGTGAGTCTTTAACTCAGGATATAAGAAATAGAATCCATAAGAATGGATAGACGTGTGGTTGTTTTGACGACTTTGAGTGATAATAAGCTTGCTGTGAATGGCTGCATTAGGGTTAAATCTGTTAGTGGGGATTGATTTTTATTATGGAGGGGAAGAGATAAGCTGAGTAATTTTCTCTCCTCTACAGACTCAGACACAGGTCATCAAGCAAGCTGGCCCTCAATTTCTGCTGAAAACTGTAGGAATGGTGGCCCCACAAATGCAGCAATTGAGGGCACATCATCTACGAAGGACGGCAGTGGTGGGTACGGTGAGAGTAGCAGCAGTATTGCCAAAGCACCTGGTGGAGCTCCTATCGCTGTCAGTGACCCCACTGTCTCCCTCGGGGACGCCTCCTTTGAGGAGGATACTTGTTCTACAGCCGATTACTTCACTTATGATGAGGGTCATCGATCTCACAGCCGTCGGCATGACCGAGTAATTCGAAGACCGCGTCTCAGCCCACCTTGTGAGTCCTACTTACTATTATTATCCAAGTTCGAATGACGATGGAGACCATTGCCATGAGTGGCTTAAGTGGGGCCCAACGCAGCCATAAAATTGCCTCTTGAAGGCATAACGAGGCATGACGAGATATTTTTTATGAAGGTGCTATTTGTACCTCCTGTTTTTACATCTTCCTACTTCTTACAGGTCTTTAAGAACTTTTGTGACAGCCGCTCATTTGAGTTTGTTGTTGTGTAAGCAATCGAAATGGAGACTAATTAAAGGAAATTTGAAGGGGCCATGTAATTAAAACACAATCAAATGCACAATTTCACTACAGCTTGTTGTCCTGAGCTTCATCTGCCGCCTCCATAATCATTCTTTAGTCTTTTTTGCCAAAAGGCTTCCGGATATTGTAGTCAATTACAAGCATAGAAAGAAAGTCGTCCCACTTGTTATACTATTTGCTTCAACTATTGGGCATAACAAGGTGTTCAAGGCCCGGACGCCTTGTTAGAGATGTCGCTAATGATAGTGAGGGTCAAACAACGTTCTGTAATAACATTAATCTTCGCAAGATTTGGTTAAAACGCCACTGGGAAGTATAAATCAGCGGTGCCTTTTACTTTGATCGCATAGCTATTAGATTCCTATCTATTATTGTAAGCGAACCCCAGACTATCGATTTCCTTTTATTGAATTTTAATTTCGCTCTACTACTAATGATTGAAGCTTAAAGTTGTTGTTAACATTAAGTGAAGTATCAACAACTCTGACCGTCAGACTCTCATTCAAGGGTAGATCCTTTGTGGCCTTTTGATGCAATATATTGGTTCATCAACACCAACAACAACGCCATAAGGGACAGGGTTCTGCATGTAGCCGTCTTTAGGGCATTTTGGGTGTATGCTAAAACTGTGTTGCTTAGTTCATTGTTATGAACCTGTTTGTGGCCTTCGTATCAACTTCAAACACCTTAAGGAGCAGTTTGAATGTCCTGCAAAGCAGTCGCAAAACTTGAAATTTTGATAATACTTTTCTGAACGGTAATAATCGGTGATACGAAATATTTGTATTGAAAATGAAGATGAAGATATTGATTAATGCCAAAAATAAAAGCGAAATTCACTAATCGTACTCTTATTTGTCAGGAGGAGGACAGGCTAAGAAGTGGGGGTGGAAACAAAGTGTTGGCAAGTGGTAATGCCTAGACTGCCCTAGAAGGTAATGAATGGGTTAGTTGCAGTCCACATGTGATAAAAAATAAAGTAAAGGTAATAATTGGGCCGGAGAGCTAAAGAGATTTCCTCATTCTGGTGTACTAGGGGCATTACTTTCCCAAAAATCCATTTTCCTCACTTTTGGATTTACTGGGTTGAAATAATAGGCTAAAAATTATTGCCAACAAGCCTCCTCCTTCTTACTTTAAACCCACATTATTAGTGCTTTTGTTTTGCTATCTTGAATCGTTTAATCAATTGTTTTGGACTAATGGCAATAGAGGAACCGTTTTCAAACAAGGAAAGCGTTAAAACTTTGGAACTTGAAATTACACGTTTAGCTGCGATGATTAAATCCGGCGTATGTGAGATGTGCGAGGCTTTGCCCAACCTTTTCCTCTTGTGTTCAGCTGCTTCATCTTATGAGTGGTTATATCAGTATTTCATCTACTATAAGGATGGTACAATAATTGAACTACCGTGAATTACTGAGGTTTTAACATTGGGGATCCCCCATTTTATGTGTTCTAGTCCCCGTATTGCTTAATCGAACTTTTATGCTTCAATCCATCTTAAAGAGCAAAATTTGAACCATTTGTCCTACCGTCCATTAAATTGCCAACCTGCTACTTCATTTTACATCTTCAATTTCATCTAGCGTTACTGTTCTAAGACTTGTTTGAGTCAAGGAAGGTATAATTCTCGAGCAGAACGTAGACACTGTATATGCGGCAAGGCTTGGAGTTACTGACCATTCGTGGCCAGTGGATTGTCATACGAACACTCAATCAAAGCATTTTCGACTCTTTCTGGCAACTTGACAAGATTTAAGATTTTTGGGGAAGCTGTAGCCATCGTGCATACTCACCGGCGGAAGTAGGCGCACTATCTTAAGGTTGCGCCTTATGACAGAAGGCTTAAGGTCTATTCCTCAGTGCAGCGTTGATCTCATTTTAATGCTGTCCAACTATATCTGCTAGCGTTTTATTTAGCTAGCAAAAAATTGGAGAAGGTAATGTGCATGCGCATCACCGGACTCTAGATGCAGGCACGGTGAACAGGTCTGCCACAAACTTTATAGATTGGTCATGGGGAGGGCAGACTTCCACTTCCGTCAATGAGTCGCCTCAAGAATTCCATGAAGAGGAGTAGAAGAGTGTGGGGCTATTTGCATTACCCAAGCATTAATGACGGGCGTTACTTAGACTGATTTTTAAACTAACAATCAATCAGCTATACAGCCGCCTCAGATATGTCAATTAAGTGATGCCAGCAACCGAACTCCCCGTTTCTTGCCAAAACGCACCCAGCATCCCATGGTTTGTGGTACAGTTTTAAGCATTTGCCTTTACTTATGCCTTTAACGGCTTGTTGTTAGCAAATCGTGCAAAAGTCAGAGGTAAGTTTAAAAGACACTTTGAGCCGTAAATATCGTGCTCACTGCTTAAGTACGCCTGAGTCTTGTTAAGTCTTCTTCCACGAAATCTCAAGAGGACGTAATTACATAAGGTAACTGCCAATCTAGGACAGAGTGAATACTGAATTACTTATTGTTACTACTTGTGGGCTTAGCAGGTTTCCCTCCCTGTTGCTGTGGTGTCTACACTCATGACCTAGGGATCATGTCAATGGGCGGATGTGTAAACAAGTAAAGGCAGAATTCGTTGCTTCCTTAAATACGCATGTGATTTCCCTACAAATACCCAATTTTGAGATGTGTGTGTGTGGAAACAACATATGAATTGTCGCGTTCACTTTCTTTTCCAACTGCAATACGCATAAATTATGACGTGTTTATTGGTAAACAGGTTTTGAAGTTTACAATTTTTAGCTTTAAGTATCAATGAATTAAGTTCCTCTTGAGTTATCATTTGAGATATTCCAATTATTCTTCTACAGAAACACCTTTAGCTCAAAATGGCAACTTCCACTAATTGCACCCTTGAGGAAAGTTAGGATAGCTTCAAGTCCTTAGTCTTTCCTGGGAAGTGTACAAAAGAGGGTTTATTGTTATTTTGGAGGCTGTAGGGGTAGCCGGAAGGCAAGTCTACCGTGCAGACGTACAGCTTCCAGAGACTGATGAGCCCCGCAGTAAAGCATGCGTAAAAATAAATGCGACGCCACCTTAGCAATTAGTAGCGATGCCCTATAGAGAGAATACTTAAACATAGCATTAATAGCCACTTAAAAGGGGTCTTCAGAAGTACTTAGCTGAAAGCAACCTTAATAAGTGTTATGAGGATCTGCGCCATTATCATAGGAGTCAGATCTAGAGAAGTGAAAAGATCTCGCAAACCCACATGCGCAAGTTATTCATCATCAACTCATCGCAACACGTATAAACTCAGTAAATGCATTCTTGGATATCATTATTGAAGTTTCGATAATTAAAACCTAGGTTTCCTTTGTCAATCAGCAAAAGCATGTTATTGAATATCCTACTCTTATAAGATTGTTAACGTTAGTAATCTTTGATATTTTAGCCCCACGCAGCCGTCCTCTGTCAGAAGCAATGTTAAGCAACCACTACTATGACAAGAGTGAACTCCTAAACGTCCTTGGTTTCACTGGTGATAGCAAAGGTGATAAAGCCAATGACTGTCTCCAGAACTTACCCTTTCGCCCCACTAACTCCACTTCTCGACCTACCTCAGTGGGCATCTATTCCAACGATGACGAAGACTTGGAAGAGGATTCGTCACTCTACGAGGCTGTTGATAGACGCAAACGGAAGTTGGATGAGACAGATGCTCTACCACCGCCTCCATCTCCACCTTCGCAAACGCTATTAACTCCTACGGCATCTCAAAAGAATGTTGAAGCAGTGAGTAATTTTACCCTATTTTGCCGGATTAATCGCAAGGTAATCGTTAATCTCACAAATGTGAGATACCATCGGAGTGGGTAGCGGAACAGTTGACTGTTCTGAGAACAAGGGAAATACTTTTTGCCTATACTATCCAGGTTGACATTGTAGCCGACGTACTTTTAAGATACTATGCTCTCAGGCTGTTGAAGAGGATCTACGCAGTGCAGTGGTGCATACAATAGAAAAGGCGGTTTAAAATCCTCACTTCGACTTGACCACTTTCGTCCTGCATTTTAAAGTGAGTCATACTTGGCTCACTTAGTGGTGCCACTTATAACTCAGCATGTTAGATGCATTTCGTGGCAAAACAGTTCCAAAAGTGAATCAGGTACAGATGCTAGAGAAATTTTAAATTAGGAAAGCTGTACTGATCCTTTTAAAACCGTTCAATATTCACTATGGAATCAGAGGAGTCGCCTTCGTCCAAATTGACCATAGCATCCTCAAAAGTCAGTATCAACAAGACGTGATCCTCTTTAAGTATGTAATGTTCTCGACGTCCTTAACCTTGAGCCATGATTGTTATCAGTCCAAGTGTAGCAAAGTTAAGGTTGTTGTCATTCGGATGTATGCTTACCTCTTCGGTGTGACCCAAACCATCTGAAGGCAAATAATATAAACAAAATTCGTCAGAAGAATATTATTGCCTACATTTCTGATTCAGGCAATTGCTAAAGACGATTTTTCGTGCTAGCCTTCGAGACAACCCTAAATGAGCCGACTACCTCGGCAAACTGGAAAGGTTGCTTTATTAAGCTGGTTAAAAGGAAACGCAGAAGGAATGGAAATTTATAGACCACTGTTAAGGCTCCTTAATTACTTCACCCATGACCAACTCTTTGTTCCTTTAATTTCTCAAATAAGTTGTACCCAAGAGACGTTCCATTTGAAAATGAAAAAAATAACGCTGACAGGTAGAAATTGTCTCAAGGGTAGCTGACATTTTCGATTGTGAATGTTGTGCAGACATTGTTTTTCAAATAAAACAGAAGTTTATGTTGTTACACAGTGATTTGGGGGAATTTAGTTTAATGGGTAAAAATCTGGACTTAGTAAGTCAATTACGCCAAAACGATTTGTCCTGCCCTTAAAATGTACCAATTGGAAGCACCTATTGATTTATAATTGGCCAATAGAGAAGTGGAATCCAGGCACCGTCCAGTAGACTTCTGGATAAATGTAGCTCTGTAGAGAGTGGCATAAGCATTTTCAAAATTTAAAGTCCTTATAATAAGATAATGTGCCACTCATAAGTCTAACTGTAACTAATGTGAAAGGGTTACCATTAGATCGAAAATTTTTAGAATATCCGTTCAGCACTTTGTTATGCGAAGGCTCTGGGGCAAAGACTCATAAAAAGCCGTGTTTTTAATTATTTTCCTCCTACTTCTCTATCCACTTGCAGATCACGGGATCTTAAAGGTGAGTTACTTTGCTGCAACCCTTCATGCAATGTTTGCTTGTGCCACCCTTTTGGCCTCAGCACTGTCATTAAGGTATCGTAAATGAGTCGCCTCAAGAGATCATACTTCCTTACGCCTACTGGCTGGTGAAATCGTGTTACCAAATGATATTGTTATGAGTTGGATAAAGGATTTTGAATGCTAGAATAAAATACTTGGGGTTTCTCGTCACTTCGACCTCACCTCGTTACTTCCTTGAATAAAGCTTAGTCATTGTTTACTTGTCTTGATTGATTGGTCTTTTAAGTTGTATCCGGATCCAGCAGATACTACCAAATGAGGACTGAATTTGGCAGTCACTATTAATGTAATGTGATGTAATGAGAGGCATCTAAACAGAATCCAGGTTTCAGGGATTTCGACTCCTATTGCTTGTCAACTCCTTGCTACATGGCAAAACTTTCCGTTTTGATGGATGCAAGCATAGCCATGTATCGGGCTGGCCATTGGATTTTACTGATTCGCTTTAATTTCCATAAATTTGGTGAATGGCATTTATGCTATATTCATATGTTCCCCATTTTTGGTATGTTATTATAAGCTTCCAGTTCAATTGTTTTCAAGATTGACAATGAAAGTATTAGCTGATACAGGAACACCTTGTCACTACTACTAAAAGCCGGACTTTTTGTTCTCTCACTTACACGCAATCAAATCGCAACAAACGCTAAAGGCTGGATATGGTTTTTTCCAGAGAACTTTGTCCTCCAGTGCTTTATAATTTTAATTTTCATTTGTTCTTACCCGTGTGCTTTGCATTGTGGGGTTGTGATTTGTTCGCATTCTCGCATGTCTCTTTGCTGATTGGGACAGACAGAAGGAATGTTTTTCGACTTTTGATTCATTTAGCTGTCATTGTCATGGGCTGGAGTGAAGCAAATACAATAGATTTTGAACTTTTATGACTTTGGCCTTGCCACCGCCATCCACCAAACCTCTATTTGTCGTCTACGATAGAATCCAACATGTTTATTTGCTTTCTTAATTAATTCACGGCAACCCTTCCGGACTGAGTTCAGATTCTCCTGCCTATCATATGTGAATTAGATTGAATGACATCACCGTTTAGAACAAAAATGTCAATCAAATTATTGCTTAATGCACTGTGTATGCTATATGTGGGAACTCGAGGCAGCAATATACTCGGCTTTGCGTTCTCCCACTTTATGGTGCTTATTTGGAGGTTCTTACACTTTTCGACCTGCCACAATTGGGCAATATTCGCACTCGGAGACACTAGCTGTAATTGCATACATGATTCGAGACACACTTTATGAGGAGTAAATGGTACACTTCGTCCACAACTAGCCATCGTATTTGCAATCACTCGCTTCATCTCTGAACCTTTGACTGAGTTTGCTGACTTCTCGAGTTCGCTTTGCTACGGATCTTTGGAGCTGTCCACCTTCTTATGCTAGGTCAAAGATCCGCGACTGTGGCCATGGCGGCAGCAAAGCTTATGATAGTTGGGTTCATTTACGTTCCCTTCGAAGTAAACTAGTGGGTGAGATACCTTGCTGCTCCGCCAAATCCTCCACCTCATAATCTCCCACATAAAACGCTAAAACAAATTTAGCGAATGCTTTACGGAAAGTGCGCTTCTGCTTTTAAGGCATGGAAATGGAAATATGACGTGTGTTTCGGTCATTTTCTTGTCCACTGATGGGAAAGCATTTGAATATATTCAATTTTTTCCATATAGTGTCTTTCATGCTCTTCGAACACAAGAATTTTAGTCGGATGGTTACCCACGTTTTTCTATTATTAACATTATAAAAGTGCACCCAGCTCTTCAGTCTACGCAGGTCGCCATTAGTGGGACAAGAACTACTCATCTGTCTCCTCCCATGTGTCATCTTCCCAGCACAGGGGAACACAAAACTTACGTGGTTTACAAAGCGCACATTAAAGTAACTTTTGTCAATCCAACATTGTCTAAACTTTGGCACAACCACGTGCCGATCCTTACCACCTCCCAAAATAACAAAAGGATCGGCACCATAATAACAGCAGTTATTAAAAGTAAAGCGATTTACTAACTTATACTAATATTTCTTCAATCTACTTACATGGGTGGGTTTGTGCACGTTTATTTGTGAAAAGAAGATGTATTCATGAAAAGATCCTTATGGAATGCTCACGACTGTCATTTTCCATTCATCGAATCTATTCCTGTTGTAACTGCCCCTTCTTAGTGGACATGGGATCACTGAACACACAAGGGCCTAGAGCTTAATTAGTATCATTATTGTTGCATTGTTTTTTAACTAGTTGGCAAGTCGCTGTAACCCAAGTGGCGATGGTGTGAATGCCAGGTACCAACACCACCGGGGCAGCACCAAGGTGACCTCCACTAACGCCTCCACATCAACTTTGATTGCCGAACTGTCGCCCCTCTCAAGGTCCTCAGCCTCGCGTTCACCCTCACCCATTCAACCTGTTACTGGAACTCCCCACACCGTCCCCTATGCCAATCTTAGCAACCTGTGAGACGATGTATCATGCACTGTTGGCTCTTATTTCGAAAATATTGAGGACACATGCATTCGTTTTGGCATCATAGCGACAAGCAGCCCGTCTCTTGCTTTGTACGGCTGATTGTCAGCGTCAATTTATCAGTTTTTTTCCCATATGCATTCAAGCCTTATGTAAAAGAATTATTGTACACTTCTCCTGCGTCACTTAGACTTCTCCGTGGAACGGAACTGGGGGGGGGGGTGACATACTTTATCGGGGTAATTAGTGATGACGATACAAATTTTCAATTAGATGGAAGTGTATTGACGCGTCTCACCGTAAAAGTGCCATGAAAGATCCAAATACATCGGTTATTTAAGTCGTAAAAATCCTAATAGTTCTGTTTATACCAATAGAACGGAGAGGGAGAGCACGGACGGCTTACAAGGGAAGCACATACAAGAAAAGTGTAGTCCTCAGTAGGATATCAAAAGGGCAGTATATAGCATCCGGTAGAATGTAGATAAGGTATCCAACTCCCTTTGAAATATTGGGCAGCTTTAGTGAATTTTACATTTATATTGTTGGAAACTGATAAAGTTGTACTGATTTGTTTATTTGACCACAGGTATGACAGATGATAACCTTAATGCTCATCCTGTATTTGTACGCTCGGGCTGGCCTTTAAAAGCCGGTGTTCCCCTCTTCGCCTTTATTATTAAACACAATTACAAAGTGACTAGAAATTTCAATATCGTTTAAATTGTTGCATACACTTACAGGTTGAAAAGTACATAATGGAAATCGTGAGTAGCGGAAAATGGCTGACGGTTTGTAATCAAATAAAGCAGTTAAACTAAGCAACGCACCAGGTCAAAACTAATTATAAAAATGTAAAACGCTCAAGACTCTGCCCTACTTAAAATAAAACCCAACACTACTTGTATTTTTGGGCTATTTCTCTTTCATTGTTTTGGCGCATCGTTGCAAAGACCGCCTTAGTTAAGCTGGCTTCGTCGCTCTCTCGAGGATGCAAACAATTTTGCGGTATGGCGAAAAGCCAATTGAATTTCAACTTGAAACTGATGGAGAATTCTACTATCTGGCCTCTGAGGTGAGTTCCTCCTGTTCACTTTTAGTTTTTTGCATTTTTAATAAGAATACTTGCATCGTTTCGACACAAATGGTCTTATTGTTCTCCAATTTTTTTATAATCACGCTCTTCGATCACTTTCGAGGATGTAGTTCTTTAGTTTATACGTTGTTATTGCTGGCTTTTGATTTTTTTCATCTAATAAGTAAACCATTTTTGCATTGACTACCCTTTTTCATAAAAGGTTGGTAGATATCTGCGTCTTTTTCGCGGTGAACTTTTAAAACGCTACCCAAATCTGTGGAAGCGTCTTACCACTTCCGAGGAACGTGACAAACTCATTGCTATGGGTATGCTCTTTCAATCTAACCCCTTTTTACTCTCATCTTTGCATTTTGAATATCGTCTTATCTCAAATACAGGTCTCGCAACACCAGTCACAGCTCTAAATGCTGTCATCCTGCGAGCCATCGAGGTTGACGAGTTAATCGGAGGCAGTGAGGACCGCTTCAAGTCCTTTGAGGTAACTCTGCATTTTTCCCCTATAACTCCTCTTGCCATTTCCCCGTCTTTTAGCCCAGTCTCAACGGATCCATTGCTCCCAGCGCAATTCGACCTAATTTGGCTGGCTCGACGACTTCATCCCTTTCTGGCAGTGTCTTTGGTTCTACCACTGCGATGTCATCTCCAACCGCCGCTTTGACAGCCACTGGAACAGCGGTAGGTGGAGAAGGTTTCACCAATTCCTCTGCCAACCCCCTTAAGCCGGCTGGAGGCGGCGGTGGTAGTGGTGGTGGTGGAGTTGGTGTCAGTGGTGTTGGTGGGAGTAGCGTCGTCGGAGGTGGAAGCGGAGGTGGGGGTTCTCGTAGTGGAGGTTCGGCTGCAGGCCGATGGGTTAGTTCAGTACCAAATACCTCTTTTCATCTGGACTCAGTGCCCTGTCCTACACCAATCGGTGCTGGAGCAAGTGCAACTCGGTCAAGACCAAGTAACTTATGATTTACTCATTATTCAAGCAACTGCTAGCGACACTACTCTGTCATATTCTGATGGATTAATTGTTTAATAGTTGCGCTTAGCAACGACTTCTCCTTCGTAAATCATTCATATTTTTCTCCAATCAGATTGCTTTTTCGTTCTTCGATTCATTTTATCTTTACTATTCAGGAGCAGTACCAAACGTATATTTTGTGTTATTTGGACCGTTTACAAAGTTTTATGCGCTTTTGAAATCTGATTTTTAGGTCTCTGGGTTTTCCTCATCCATTTCGTATCGATAGGCTATACTGGGTCATTTTTTGGCTTTGATTTGTTCCAGGTTGCGGTTTGACTCCCTTTCATGTGGCCTTTTTTATTGTTTTGACAACGAATCAGGGTGGCCTAGCGCTATCAACTTGAGGCTCAGATTGACGGATTTTGAAATGCAGAAGTCTTTGGCGCATGTCGTCCTTGTTTACTATTGCTGCAACAAATTGATGCAGTAGAAACAACATTTGCTCAACCATCCGGTAGTATATCTATCAGTCGAATAGTGGGCGCTACCCATAAATGCTATTAATGGAAGGTTTTCTAGATAGTCTTATCGGTTCTCTTGCTTACTATTGATGAGGACTACTCTACTCCGACAGATAAGGTGAGCAGCAAAGTGTCTAACTTCCCAATTTGTCTGGATGACTCGGACCCTGTGGCGTACCATGAGAACGCCCAGCAACCGGAACACCTTGTTCCCATCCGATTGGACATCGAGTTTGATGGAGTGAAGTTGCGTGACTGCTTCACTTGGAACCGTACGGAGCAGCTAATCACGCCAGAGCAGTTTGCAGAGATTCTCTGTGACGATCTTGACCTCAATCCAATCTCTTTCGTACCTGCCATTGCTCAGGCCATTCGACAACAGGTGAGCACTATTGTTTCTCCTGCTGTTCAAAGATAGTGTATTCGTGCAGCTAATAACTCCCAACGGGAATCTGTCTTTCACTAGAGTGGATAGTGGCTTCTTAGTGTCGCATCGTGACTGGTTAGTCGTTTTTTTCTGTGAGAACTTGTTTGCTGGCACCTGATATTTTCTGGACGATTTCTAATCCTGAGCTCTTTCAAATTGTTCTCTTAAGGTGGAACATGCAAGCTTTCTTTTTTTGTGGAAGCTACCTGACGACTTTAAAAATTTCGTGTCCTCTTAGACAGCATCTAAAAGTTGCATTTCTCTTCCTTGTGGATATCTCACTTCTCTTTTCACTGCTAACAACCAGTTTTCACGTGGTTAAGAACATGTGACTCTCATTGGATGACCTAGCTACTGCAGAGAGTACATCTTTTATTGCCTTGTAGAGGTATATTTTTTTTCACACTGAATCCGAAATTGATGCTTTTTCACAATATTTGATGTTTGATAGACATTTGGCTGCTTTTCAGGAAGCTAAACTGAAAAGTCGTTTTCTTGAGTTTAATTTTTCACTAAGGTGCTGCAATGGTAGTAACGAACTCTGCCTGAGCTGTTAATGGACTTTTATCAGTAACACTTATTCATTTTTTGGCAAATGAATTACCTCCTCCCTACGAAATAGGTGGAAATGACATCTAAATTATTTTTCCTCTGGTTCTAGGTGGCAGCCCACCCAGTGGAAAACATTCTCTCAGGTCAAACAGACACTCGCGTGATTGTGCGATTGAATATTCATGTGGGCAACATGTCATTGGTGGACCAGTTCGAGTGGGACCTCTCCGAACCAGCCAACTCGCCGGAGCAGTTCGCTGCAAGGCTCTGCGCCGAATTGGGTTTGGGTGGAGAATTTGTTACCGCTGTCGCTTACAGCATTCGTGGCCAACTGGCGTGGCATCAGCGACTATACGCTTTTACGTTAGTCTACGCCTTTCACTAGTTAAGGCGACTTCTGCGTGAATAAGTTAAAGTTGGTTCACTTTGTGAGCACCAACTAGACAGTCAGAGATGTAATCGAAGACATTTTTAAACGTACATTACTAGGATCTCGGTGTCAGAACCTGTTACTGACATTTGAGTTGTTATGGCTTGCCAAACTAGAGTTGTGGTAGTTGTATGTGAAGTTCGCGAAATGATACTTTAGGTGCAAGCCTCCTTAGTCGTCCATTTTTGCTCTTTCAAACCGATCATCCAAGGCTGGCTCCAGCCTAGCGTATAACTTGAGTGTAACAATTTGTTGGACATCTGAACTTGACGTGGGCATATTTCATGCCGTTGTTACTCAACATTTTTATTGATGGTTTATTTTCGGCGCAGATCTCCTTAATCTCTCTTCCATCGAATTGAAAACCACCAAGAGTAAGATAAAGTTTTCGATCTCCTTGTTCTTTATTGGACAATTGCGCTAAGGAACATTCGCTTACCCATGAAGCGGTGTCAAATGCTGAATTTATACTTTTGGCTGAACAAGTGGGTGACAGCGGCATACCATGCTCATGTTGCATCTTGTCTTCCAGCAAAAGTTTTAGATTGGAGTTGTTATAAGCCAGCCCAAAGGCACCCTTAGGTGACCAGTGTGAAAGAGCGAAAACAGGTGACCAAAGGGGCTTGGATCTATTGTACCACTTCTTTTGTGTATTTCTGAGCTGGCTTGCCTTTCAAAGGTATTGCCTTTTTCGGGATGTTAGTTGATGCCTAAAATTTTGCTTTTAGTGAATCACCACTTCCGACAATCGATGTAGTTTTTCGCAGTCCCAATGAGGCTGATCAGTGGAGTCCGGTTGTCGAGGTGCTGACAGATGCCGAAATGGAGAAGAAGATTCGTGATCAGGATCGTAACACAAGGTGGGTTGTGTTCTCATTTGTTCTTTTATTGTTTTTTGGTTCATCTTTGTCCTATTCTAAGTCCATGTCTTGCTTCCTTGTGTAGACGTATGCGGCGTCTGGCCAACACGCAACCCAGCTGGTGAGGTGGGGATTAGCGTGTTTCTATCCCTCGTGTTTATGCTCCATTTTTTTTCTCTCCTGCCTTGTTTTTATCAATATATCATCCGTTCGCACCTTGCTTAAGTTTTTTTGAAATTATCAGGTACTGGTAAGTGCTTTCAAATGATTTGTTCACAATTTCTGACGTGCTAGATTGTTTGCTTGCGAAAGAAGACGTCTGGATGCATCCGCAAGTATGTTGCTTGATTTCGGTTAACGCATCTGCTCCACTGACGCTGAAGACGGTACAACATTGGCACACATTCAGCTCTCAAATCTGGCTTTAGTTTTGTGCTGCCTTGAGGCCCTATGTAAGGTCGTTGGACCTGGTGAATGGATGGGGCTTAGCCCTAATTCAACGCCGCGAATGTTTCCCACCTACTTTAAATTAAAAGCATAGGAAGGTAACACAAAAAAAACGCCCAGAAATAATTGCGACAAGTTAGGTCCGGTTATGGACTAGTCAGATATTGCATCCATGTTCCCTATTATACTTGTAAATCTCTTATTCTTATTTGTAAAAATTACTCTACCTCTCTTAGCAGTTCCATCATTGGGATCTCTGATCACTTCCTGCTACTGCAACTTGAAGGGCACCAGAGCCGAGTCAAAATGATAAAACCTGTAGGCTTCGTCTGCAACAGCTCCTTGATAATGCATCAGCAGCCAACACCATCACCATTACGACAGATCTATTCACAGTTCCCATAAGCATTTCAAAATTAAGATCGAAGTCTTTCAATTAAAGTCTATTCAAGACCTGTTAAAGTCATGCAATTTGATTAACTATTTCCAATGTTTGTCGATTCGACTAGTCTTGACTCACGTCCCACTTTACGCTCAACATGTCAACCACTCGCTCAATGCACGTTATAATTACTGAGATAGGAGTATGGTTCCAACATCGAAACTACAAAAGGCATTCAATGAGAATCACATCATTTCTTCTCCACCTTCTTCTCGGTACTGACTGGTAGGGCGGTGGGTTGCCTGCTTGGGGCCTTTTGCGCCTTTCGTGATCGGCTTCCTGACACTGGTGCCAAAACTGGTTGATAGGGAAGTACTTGATTCACAGTGCCTAAAATAAATTTACTTAACTGAACTATTGTAAGCATGAATTGGAGTGCAAAGTAGACGGAAAAAAGAAAGTGTGGTTGAAAGTGTACCACAACGATAGCTTCTAACAAGGGAGCAAGTAAAAAGGACTCACCGACAGCTTTCGTCTTGCCCTCTCTGAAAATGAGACGAGTGCCTTTGTGCAGGCATTCAGGATGATTGATGAAGGCAAAATGGACTTCGGCTTTGTCTCCTGTTCGAAGTCTTTCCTTTCCAGTACCAGCACCAATGCTGAGGATCGTTGCTGTTTGCCGAATGGGTCCAGCGTGCACCATAGCCTGGTAACCGACGCTAATCGTGGTAGGGTGGTGGAGTACTAGGACTGTTGCCGTGAAGTTCATGCATGAGGTGAGATCGGAGCCCTTGCCTAGAAGCATCATTCCCTGTAAGACGGAGACACAGTTATGGGAGTAGTGATAGCTATATCTCACGTGGTCTCCCACATCCCTCCACTACATGCTGGGCTTCAGCCTCCGACCCGGCACTGACGGACCATTCCGTGCAGCTAATATCACCATCCTCAAGACAAACTCAATTCTGGGTCTTGGATGTGACCTCAACAGGTCACACAAGAAACCCCTTTCAAATGTCCAAATCTGCAAATGACGACGGCACGCAAAATAGAAGATTTGAACGAATCAAAGATTCATCAAAGGGAAGTCTCCTGGTTTCCTAAATGTTCTTGCTGGCGGGTAAACGATTATCATCCGGTCGAGCTACCAAATCTTCTAACCCGTTCTCAATTATTTGCAAAATGGCATATCTTTCGACCACAATTTACTAGTAGCTTTTGGCAAAACTCACTCTTCTCAACTGTGTACACCCTTTCGGCCGCTTAAGTGAAAAGGACGCAGTCTGTCCAGCCCGGACAGAGTTGACAGGTAGACGCTTCCGCTGTATACTCTTGATGACCACAGGAAAGAAACGTCCAGAGGTGTCTGGTCCCAGTGACAAGGTGTCGTTGAGGCGTACCACTCCACTCATGCAGGTGCCGGAGACGATGGCGCCAACGCCAGGCACGGTGAAGAGCTCGTCAATTTGAAAAGAGGCTGGCCGATCTAGGCGATATGTAGAGTTGACAGCGTTTGCGCCGATGGATGCAGCAATGCTATTGGAGGGCGTTGTAGCGGAAGGGGATGCAGCAACAGCAGGTGAAGGGGTTGAAAGGAGATTGAGAAAGGCAGTAAGAAGGTCCAAATTCGCTCCAGTGACATTTGAGACCAAGAAAACGGGGCACATACGCTCGGAGGTAAAATTAGTGGCACTGCAAACCACATCATCTCTGGAAAGAGAAACAGGAGAAATTTAAGTAAAGTAAACCTTTGCGGATCCGCTATAAGAGAGGCTTTGGAACACAAATAAGGCCTTAAAACTCCCAACAGGCAAAATATCGACTCTTAAAGTGCAAAGAATTTGCATACAGTATCTGCCTCATCCTTTAACGCTGAAAAAGTCAATTAACAGGGAACAAATGCTTTCATCAATCGAACAGAGGATCATCCCTTCTAGATAGGTTATGCGTCGGTTAAGTAATCCCAGGAACGATGGTGTCACTGCAGCCGGCCTTCTATATGGGTAACTGTCTGTGTGCTTCACGCCTTTTACCCAAGACGCTTCACAAATGAAACATTTTAACAAATAACACGAAGCCAAGAGGGCAACCGTAAGTGAGAGTCATGCATGCAGTCATTTAGTCGTTTCGTACACCGAAAAGGAAGCAGATTTTCAAAAAAAATTACCAAATGTATTGTATAAGACGAATGGACAAGCCTCACCAAAAAAGACCCATCGGAAATCTGTTCTGCTCGACCGAACCAAACAATGACGACCAACTATAATGAGATCGCTATCTTACTGATTTGAAACAAGGAGGGGTATTTTCCGACATCCAGGCGATTTGAGGACTTTGAAGAGGTGATTGAGGGTCTCATTGAGTACGTTGGGTGGGCACATGTCGATTTTGGTTATCACCACAAAGACCGGCACGGAGAGGGCCAGCGCGAGACCCAAATGCTCCTTTGTCATTCCAATGACCCCCGCGTTGGCTCCTACCATGAGCATTGCGAAGTCAGGCGCGAATCCAACTAATCCAAAGACTGTAGTTTTGAGATATCTTTCGTGCCCTGCCAGATCGATGAAGGTAATCACCTGGGGATGAAAGTGGATGCGATGAATACAACCTACAGACTACTCAAATCTGCATTCCAAAGAAAGAGAGAAGAATTTGAGCTAAAGCAAGGACCCTTACCTTTACTCGCTACTGCGATATGAATTGTCGAACTTATCCTATCACTACTAACAAGCGCTCGTATTAACGTCTGATCAAGGTAGCAGGATGGAGTAGGGAATGACATATCGTGCCAACAATGCATAACTCGAAGACTTCCGCTAGTGTGAACGGCACAGCAGTGATAAGCTGCTTAGCTAACACTAGAACAGTTGGATGGCGGCGACCCTTGTGTCCAGCAGTGCTGTTACAAGTCGTGATTATCTTCAGTGCTATCAAGGCAGCCATTACCACGAGGAGCACATTGTATGGAGCCCGGATTTTTGGAGGGTTGACTACTTAGAGCACTAGTTGCCAAAATGGATTTCCGATTCAAAGATAAAGGGTGGGTCTGAGTAGGAAGGCTAAATCTATCCAAATCTCATTCCCACAAGTAACGAAATTCATGTACACCACCCCAAACCAGACCTCAAAATCGTGGATGCAGAAGCAAAGTTTTTCAAGCTAGCTTGAAACGAGCGAGAAAATCTACACTGCCAAAACTGAACTCCAAAGGCTAAGTAAGCAGGCAAATTTAACAGGAGATCCGGTAGAAGACGTGAAACTTTGGGCCTGGCAATGTTTCCACTGCAAGGCTTGTTCAGTCTACTTGGTCAGAGCAATGCTAGGTAACGGCTTGAGTAGAAGAGCACTGCAAGAGTCAACTTTAACCATGTTGCTCAATGGTACAAGGCTCGGTCCATTCCCATGGAAGAAACCTAGAAGAACGAATAACTACCAATATAGTTGACCGTCGTCAACACAACACGAAAAGTTTAGCAAATCAGGTGAAAAGATGGTCGTTCAGAGCTTTAAAAAAATAACCTCAATCGTCAGGTTCGACTCTAACACCCGGACGACCTCAACTGCACCAACATTTTGACACCTTTCTCAGGCATCAAAAAATGAGAGCGACCGCCAATGAACGGGAAGTAATCCGCATTCATTGCTAACTTTTAGGAGTAATTATTCCACAAATCCAAGAAGCCAGAAGGGTGTTTAATAGCAATTCAAATCAGTTACCATCGGGAAAATTATCCCAAGCAAAAAAGTTGTACGATAAACAGCCTGTGACTAAGAGAGGGTGGATTATTTCAATTGTACACTTGTTTCCCGGGCACCCGTGATCTGATATAGAAGTTTGTCCATGACAACTGCTTCCTCTGCACCCGCAAAGCAAAAAAGATCTCTTCATGCTCTCATCAGCCTTATATCATCTCGGTATCTTGAGCTATCACCTCACAAAATGCCTATGTCGACAGCAATCGTAGGATCTCGGAACACAGCTGGAGTGGGATACGAGCACGCAAGCACGGAAACTGTTGACCTCAATGTGAGGGGAATAGACCAAAGGGGACTCATGAAATCACTCAGCGTAGTATGAATCATAGGCAGATGACACACTTTTATTGCAAAAAAAAATTAAAAAATGACGCTTTTACGAGTTATAATGGATGGCAAAACGCAAGATAAGTATCTGTCACCAAGTTGACGGCGAAGATTGCGCACCTGATAGATTTTGGAACCAAAAGGCGTTCATGAATGAAAATTTAAAAAGGCTGATGTGCTAAACGAAATATATTAAGTGATACGACTTCATGAAGCATAGCAAAGAAAGTGATTTGGATTGTGACTGAGGTGTGGCTATCGAAACGGGTTCGATCGTCTAAGCATCCATCGCGCTTTTTTTAAGTCTTCTTGTCTAGTGAGACTGGTCGGTAGTCTAAACGCATAGGAGACTAAAAATAGCAATTATTGCGTATCTTTTCGTGGCATCTAGCCTCCGTCTCATCAAACTCAGGTCTGATATGATCAAAAACAAATCAGCAACTAGCTTACGATGTCACCACGCGTTACCCTGCTAAGCCCGCCGCTCCAAACGCTTCTGATGATCCCGCACAACACATACACCTCTACCTCGGGAGAAACACAAAATAGTGTCAATCTCCGCCTATCCGTTAATGGTTTATACTTGCCTTGCCATAAAGGAACCTTCACACGCAGCTATATGCTTCATAGTTTAATGTGAGTGCACATAATTTAAATTCACCAAATTCGGTAGAGCTTGTAAATACCTTTGTGGCTGCCTGGCATATCTCCACCCAGTCGAGTTTGCCATGCACTGCACGATTGACCACCTTACCGTCCGCGTCAAAGCCGAGGATATTATTCCCCACGGAGCTTGTTCGACCCGACTCGATTTCGTGTTTGTGGCGGAAGAGGTATTGGCGTGCCAAACCTCGACCATTATCCAACTCGCCGTGTGTCAGCACACCCAACATCGTCGATTTTCCAGCGTCCACATTCCCCACCACAGCAACTCTGTACAAGAATGACAGTTTAGCTACTCATGCACCTAGATGTGGTTTTGTAAATTCTAATTAAGGACACTGACAAAAAATGTTGCAAATTACCAAAGCCCTATCTAGCCTTGGACACACTTTAGGTAGATGGAGTTGCAATTTAAGACAATTTGAGTGATATTTACTTTACACTGAATTAAGGAACGTATTTATTATTCTCTACCCTCCCAGCTCATAACAGGCGGATCTTTTCATTCTCTAATTTTGCAAATAGGGGTAGGAATAGAATAGTTTCTGTGATGAAAATTTCAAGAGCCGAGAATTTCATCTGCACAGATTGCAGACCAGCGTGCGACCAATCCAGGGGGTCTGGAATAACACCATTGGTAGACAAGTAGCCTCTTTAGCAATGAAAGCCTAGAAAAACTTTTCCTTTTGTTGAAATGGAATTTGGCGTCACCTACTAATTTTAATGTAGATAACACAAGTTGATGAAAAGCCTAACTAATGAAAGGCAGAAAACCCGGAAAGCATTGAAGACTACCCAAATATTGCCATTTCCACCGAAAGTGCCTTGGACCGTATTGTAAGATTTGAGATGACTTTAGTAGTACCAGTAAAAAACAAAACTATAGCTATAAAACCAGTCCTAAGCCCACAGCGCCTTCATTCTTAAGTCATAGGGTAGGCTAAAAGGACTTTCCAAGAAAGCATCACGTGACCGTTCGCTGGAAATTGGACTGGAATAGTACTTTTTTGGTAAATAAGCTCGAAAATCTGTCGATTTACCAAGGATACAGAAAAACAACCTGACTACGGATACCATTAACACAAGACGCACCTGATGTCGATGAAATCGCGCTCATCAATGGCATGGCGCAGGAGGAAATCTTTCACAACCCATTCGCCCCCTGTCGAAGACACTGACGTCGTCTGCGGTGCGTTTTCTGATACTGGTGTTTGCGAAATTGATTCCTTTGTCGCCTGAGGCGCAGATTGCGCTGAAGCAGCAGCTGTTATTTCTGACGCATCAGTGACCAACAGTGGTGCCACTTTCTCCGACAACTGTCCATCCATCGTGGTGCCGGCCACATTTTCTTTGGAGCCACGTCTAGCTCTCCCTCGAGAGCGCTTCTTGCCTCTGGCCCCCTGAGGAGCAGTAGCAGCAGTGTTGGAGGTGTCATTGTTGGAGTGTGCAGGAACGGTGCGTGTCCGCAGGTGAACAAGGTGTACATCAAGTAACTGTGCCAGTGATCGGAGTGTCGCTTCGCTGGCGCTCATATTACTGGCTGAAAGACCAGGCTCCTGACCCTCTGTTGTGATCGGTCAAAGATGATAAGCCGAGAGTGACTGTTCAGATGACAAGCCCATCAAAACCTGCCTCTAGACTCTCTGAGAGCTATTAAATGATGGAAGAGGAAGTTTGTCTACCCAAACATTAGTAATTAACTAAGAGAGTAAATGTGATTTCCTCATCAAACAGCACTACTGGTACTGAAGCTGCAGATAAAAACTTGACATTGACACCAAGCAATTCACCTCGCTCCTGAAAGAGAAAGTGCAGACTTTTCAAGTGTGCCTTTTTAGTGACTTTTAGCAACAAGCATTGATAACCTCACACTTCCATGAGTGGTTGCACAAGTTTCGCGTAAGATGATGAAATAATGCGGAAGAGGATTTTGAAGACTTATGAATCAAGCAGTTCAGCACTTATAACAGACCCGCAACAGGCTATAGATAAGATTATCCCCTCATAATGAGCATGTAAGCCGCCGTAAGGCGGACTGTATTTCTGTAGGGATTCAACATATACGACAAATCTTAGCCGATGCTTCGGAAAGGTATGAGCATACCTAATGAAACGTAAGAGACTAAAAAAGGAAATTAGACCATTCATTGCACAGTGAGACACTCGTTGTTGAGAGTCACGAAATGCTTGTTAGAAAATCAAAACAACAATCAAATCCACCAAGACCCTAAAACAAGTCGGTGATTTGTAGCAATCCCAAACCAAAAGTTTCAAGAGCTCTGCTAACGAAACAACTACAACACAACTCTCAGCTCTCCTACTGATAGAAAAAATGAGAGGAGGGAGGTGCAACTCACACGATGTGTCATAAGTTAAATCTTTAATGAAAGCAAATAATTCAGTAGCATACTGGCTAGACTATTTTCTACTCATCACCAAGTCTCAAAACCTCATTTGCGATTGCTTGCTGCTCCTCATCACGCAATGTAAATTACATGCATGCAAAACTGTTCATAATTGAGTACAATCAAGATCGTACGTGTACGGTGACAGATACTTGAGAAGATGAAGTGAACTTGTTTCGCACCGAAGTTGAGTTAATTTTAAACACAAAATAATTTGGTTTATGCTCAAGTCACGGGCACCGACTCTGAGTTTGGTGCACAGCTAGAATATGGAAGATAAAGAAGAGCCGGAATCGAAAAAAACTAGCCTCGAAGATACTTCAACCTATGATGTAAGAAGGTTTGTGTCTCGAAACCAGAAAGCTAGTAAGTGCATGGGAAGAATGATGACATTGTCGAAAACAGGCGAAAAAAATTGATTATTTTAAAATTGCTCATGTAGGCCCCACACATAGCTAAGACAATAAGCAGATTATAAGAATTATAAGGCTGGAGTTGATGCATGACAGATAAGATATCCACTCGACTACTTGAACACATGAAAATCTAAGAACATCATATTTTCACAACTTGCAACTACTAAGTGCTTTCAAAAGGGAAGTTGGGGGTGAGAACAAAATGAAAGTTAGATTACCATTAGACTACATTTACCAAATTTTGAATAATGAAGAACGCCATAGAATAAAAAATTTTGCCATAGACACCCAGGGATTTCACCCACAGATGATCGCTTTATCTCATGAAAAGTAAACGGTCCCCTCGCATATGTTCCCTTTAATATTTTACATTCCATCTGAGGTAGCATAAGACTCAGTTTGGAAAAGGATGTCCACGTACTTATCCGCCCAGCCAAGTCCATTACATGGATAATAAAAAGTTAAACACAAGTAGTAGATAACCTGGGATGTATTCACAATGCTTAAAATGCACACGCATACTAGCTATCAGCGTCGTTAAAAATATCAATTAGATGTTTGACTTCAATGAGGTCAAAACAGCAAAAAAGTCAATGGGGTATGAATAACGAACATTACATTATGTATATCGCTTACCACCAACACCAAGTACGACAAAACACTCTCCCTGACCGGATTCAAGGCGAGAGGACAAGCATTGCTTAAGGCATTCAAACTCAGAATCACTTGGGGCCACAAACACGTGCTAAATAAAGAGATAGTTGTTACAAGTTGTGCTGATGAAGTCAACATAATCCATAGAGAAAAGAGATTAAGCTATATGCATCTCAAAAAGGTTAGCATAGAGCACCACGAGAATACGAGCACAAAACTATGCTAACAAGAAATCTGACACACGGAACTATGCGTCAGGAGGCAGTGAAAGGGAAATGCAGGAACAAGATATTGGCATTAGCGGCAGAATAATGCTAAATACCTTATCAGATAAAATATTTTGGCAATTTTTCTCCATGCCAAAACAACATATGAACACTTAGACGGTATGTTCATTAACGCACTCCCGGCATAGACCATATAAACACAAGAAAGTTAACAAATAAAATTCTCTGAAAACAAAAGCTTTAGTCTGATGCTGTAAGTATTTTTGCCCTCGATACTTTTTCGCTAAATATTTTAAGATAACCAAAGCGGAACTGAAAATTAATATGAACATTGCTTACTCCAAAGACATTGACCGTTGCAATATAACGACCCCCAAAACCATAACTAAGATCACTGCTCTGATGAGCGCGAAACCCACCACCTTGCAAGCGCTGAAATCTACCCCACCACAGGAGACGAACAGAACGGACGCCCCAGACCCCAGCCAGTGCCCAGTAACATCGACCAGCGAACCAACACTCGACTGAACACAAGTGCCTAAGTCACCCACACAGCAATAACTTATTTACAAGCTTAACGCAAGTCATGTCATGCGTCGAACGCGAAATCAAACTACATAAACATGTTCCTTAAGTATTCGTCAAATTCATCCTCCTGTGTGCGTTGTGATTCATGTCGATCTGACCCTTGTTGATTTGACGTTGAGGGTTCCTTCCAATGATCCCCTCCTGATGTCAGCTCCTGACTCTCGTGCTGATCCAATACTTTGTTCTCCTCTGCAGGCTCCTTATGACCGACGTTCAGTGTGACTTCAGAATGTCTAGGAAAATTTTAAAAAGACATGTATCCAAAATGATATGGGTCTAAATAAAAGAACCGAGACACTCACTGCTTGTGATAATTCAGTTTTTGAGAGCAAGTGGGACACAATCGCACCTTCACTAGCGCATTTCGTTTTTCACCTCTCTCATTATACGCAAAATCCACCTCCCAACTGCGCAAGTACTCCACTTCATTGCAATCCACCGATCCACAAACAAACTGGCCCTTGCCCAACACCACCTCCCGCTCAGAGCGCCAACGCAAACCAAGTTTCTTCTCCTTGTAGCGCGAGAAATCAGCAATTGCGTATTCTTTGTATAAGCGATCCCAGTAGTGCTTAGCCAGCCTCTCCTCCCTACAATTGTAAGGTAAAACCACTCCCTTCTGCAAACCAAGTATCAGGATTATCTCGATCCTCCCAAACAAAACGAGCGTTGGCCTTGATCACATCAATGTCCCGTTTATCATTGGTTCTAGGCAAATTAAATGAGAGAAACGACACTTACGTATCACGCTTGAAGTCTTTTCGAGAACCGCCATAGTACTGGAGATAATCATTTACCATTTTCTTATGCCGTTGATACTAATTAAAAGGAAAGGCAATAAAGACAAACAATTTAAATTACTGCATCCAAAGGAATCATTTGAGATGCAGGTCTGTGCAAACAGATGAGGTATTAAGGACTAGCTACCTTTGTTTTACGACAAGCTTCCGCTCTGTCGATGGGATTAGGTGTGATGAACCTCTCTTCTCGCCAGTACGGACAGAGAAGGCATCGTCTTCAGTCCTGTCATACGGTAAAATTTGGGAAAATATGGAGATTAATGTTGATAAATGAATGAGAGCACCTGGAGGAACAAATGGAACCAACTTCACTTTGAATGTCAGATTCAAAGTCTGATGTATAGTTTGTATTGGTGTAAGCCTAAGCAACAATCACAACCCAATATGCACGCATCCCTACCTCCCCCATTACCATCAAGGAGGCTAAAGGCTAGGTTATGGATAAACGGATGCAAATCGTCCTATCGGATTGGCCTATCAAAATCTAGTATTAATTGGTGAAAGTGTTTCGAACTTATAAGTCAATTTAAAACTATATGGGCTTTGAGTGCATATAAATGGTATTTACACAATCCAAAAGAAATATGGGTTAAGTGGTAGCAGAATGCCATGACATTTTAATAAATGAAACAAGACAATTGACCCAATACTTATGCAGTCAGAAGATCTCAAACCCTAGCTTAGTCACACCTTTAGGTATTGTATTTGCAATACTTTGCCTTTGCAACCACCTAATGTCCGTCGGTTACTTGCGTATTTGTTTTGCCATACAAACTTGGACTGTCCTCTAGGTCAAGCCAAGGTCTTATTCCCACGTCCTCCACTGGAATACAAGCATTCTGCAAAACCAGATTTCTTCTTCTACTTGGTGGGTAGTCTCTGGGTGCTGTAGCATTGCTCATAGACCATTATAGACGTAAAGGCCATAGTAATGCGCCGTGTGTGTATAGCAAACGAAAAGTGATCAAGGTCTTCACATGCCTCAAGGCAAGCTAATAGATATAGCAGGAAGATCCCATAAGCTACCTCCACGCTGTCTGGAGACTTTCCAATAGGCACAACAAGACAATAGGTAAGACTAAAATGCATGTATTTAATAGTAAAGGGAAGAGATAGGGCTTTGACTTGATCTAAAGGACAGCTCACGTAAACAAGAATAACGCAAACACCCAAGCTACCACCATTCACACAGGTAGTCAAGTAATTGAAGCCTCACAATGACCCTTTCTTCTTCTTGAGCGATTCTCCCCCCTCCCCCATTCCACCTCCCTATCCAGACATCACAACATAGTCCGTATTACACCAAAACACCTACAACTCAGCCACGCCAGTCGTCAGCTACTGCAACTGACGGACTGTACCCAGCATTCTCAGCCGATTCAAGTGGAACTGGAGTCGCGTTCAGTCTGAGAGCACAAGTCACAGAGAGGAATGTTTGTTGACCGTGAATTGTGTCCACGACTGGTGTTGGAACACTGGTCCAAAACGAGTGCACGACAGGGGAAACGGCAGTAAATACACATCCACGTGGAAGGGCGATCAGTCCAATGTCGTTATCCCGAAACTGCACCCTTCCAGATGGTTCATGGTGGTTGAACTTTAGCTAATTGTTTGCCAATGGACACTAACCAGGAATGTAGTTCTCAACTTTATTGTTACGAAAAATTTGGAGATCGTCCCACATTAAGTTCATGCGCTTCCTCAGCGATGCGAATGTACGTAGCAAATGGGTGACATTAAAGTAGAAGTCGTAACATGGAAGGGTTGCCCTTCGACTGCGACAACTGTAGCGTTCCGCGACTTTCCATCCGGTAGAAGAAGTCATTAAGTAGGACTAAATAGCTGTGCTCAAGGAGAAGGGAAAAGCGTCAAGGTTGGGCTGTTTTAAGCTCTGCCTTGGCACGAAGACCAACCTAAGCAAATAAGAGCACGATAAATACTCAAGTGAATGAACCAACTGAATAAAATATTGCCAGTAATATTTGTAATACTAGGTTAATGTTTGCACCTGATGCCTGACAGTTACTTTGGTATTCGTCTTGCCATTTTAAGTGCGGACTAGCCTTTGCGCCATAGCCATGTTAAGGCTTTACACCGCCTTCTTTATTATTTTTTTTAAAAAAACATGCATTCTGTATAATGCGATGCCTTCTTCCATGTGGCGGCGGAAAGAGAAACCGCCACTTTTAACGCCTTCTGTCCCAGTATATACCACTTGTTGTATGTACATAGGGAGCCGCGAAGACATTTACATCAGGGGCATTCAGCTTCACCTTGTCCCCGTGCTCCACAGACAAGCTATTTACAACACAACGACACCGACACGAACTATCTGAAATATTTTGTGCCACTATTCTCCTCACCACATCCGTGTGTAGGTGTCGAAAATGACACCACGGATCTTCTTATGCACGGGACTGCGTCTGATCGCGTTTCTCCTGTAACAAATATGTTTCAGACTAGCAAGCAATTGATGGTCAACAGATGTATGCGACCCGAAGTCAGGTGCGGCTGAAGTCGCAGAGGAGACTAAGTACCTTTCCTCAGTCTTATGGCAGCTGTTGGCTGGCGTGGCTGGCTCGTGGGTGCTTTCTTGCAGTTCCGAATATGTTGTGATGGATAGTGTGGGAGGTGTATCGAGGGGAGCGTCAAGGGTGGCATTCAAAGGAAGAGAGGAGTAGTGCCATACTTATTCAGCGATCATATGATATCTGTCAGTCAATATAAGATTCGTCTGACCCCTGTATTCAGTTCCACTTAATGCCTTCTTCTACTGGATGGGTTTGTAGCGTCCCCAGACTTCCATGTGGAAGGGCGATCAGCACATTATCGTTGTCAGCATTGTAATAGTTTGTTTATGTGAGCACATGACGTTTGGCGGTCACTTAAGGATTTGTCTAGCCCTTGTGCACGTGGGCTGGCCTTCGGGCCATGTCCAGGCCCATTTATCCTGTAGTCTTCGACATACCTGTATCCAGCTGCACTTACTGACTTCTTATACCGGCTAGGGAGTCTCGGGACGCTACACTGGTGGCAGCGGAAAGCGAGCCCCACATTTTCCTCTAGCGACTTTTATGTATAAGGAGCTTCTGTTCTGACCGAGGTGGGGTATCTCTCTGTGGCTTGTTCTTCGTTGGTCCACCTACTGCCTTCCACTGTCAAATGGAAAATCCCAGGGAGCTCTAATGGCACCTAGTAGACTGATTAGTCTAATCTTAATCGTAATGCAACATCTCAACAACATTCACCTTAATCAGGATTTTTCCCCACTCTCGAACCCCACCACCATGGAAGCCATTGAATAAGGTTTCAAAAAAAAAGTCAGCGATGACATGTAAGAATACCATTGGCATCCAAAAAAAGGACCTAAAAACAGTAAATGCGATCCAATTGTTGTACTACCAAAGCGTCCCACACGACCATGCAATTATTAGTCCATTTCATTCGTTCCCACCAAGTGAACCCTCAAACTCGAATCAAATTTTTCTACTCAACCATTGGACAATTCTAAATTTGCTTGCAATTTCTTGATACGAGTGAAGTCATCAAAACTCTCTTAGAATCGCGATGCCAGTCCTCCTCAACTAGGATGCAACAACCAGACCTACCCCAAATTCAGTGAAACCCACTTAAAGGTCAACAGGTTGCTCAACCCTCTGGAGCTTATTGCCTTTGCCCTCCCACTCTATAGTCGAACCTTTCACACAATGAACACATTCACATTCTGTTCCGCGGTTTCCGAGACCAGTGTTTTGAACAGGATTCAGATCACACAGTTTGCAAAAACCAACACTATTCACATCCTCCATTAATCCGACATAACCTCCACTACCTGTCGAAAAGCTAGACCCTCCATACACAGTAATGATGAGCCTTCTTAAATCCACGTTCACCACGAAGGCCATCAAACGAATTGCGAATGTGGCTAGCATAACAAATTCAACGACAATTAGAGCATGGGTCGTATTAATAAAATAAAAAGAATAATATACAAATAGTATGATTACCTCTGTACAATGACCGAGAAAGCCTCAAACCGCACACCAGTTGACCGAGTCAATGGAAGCCAAACTCACCAAAATTATACAGGAAAGGGGAAGGAGACCGACTACATCAAAACCAAGAGGGAAGGTGTAAAGGTAGGTAAAAAAGGTGCCAGAAGGTTCACAAAGACATCAGTGTATTTTTGCCAACGTTCCCAACACATCGAGATTAGACAGGTCAAACTTCTGCAAACAGATAAAAAAGCAGGACAAGGAATTAGGTAAGTCGACACCAGTGGCGGTCCGACATTAGTAATAAAATGTTCCACAAAACAGAGCCATTTTATTCCATTTACTTCACTCACAGTTCTTTTTTTGGGAAGGGGGAGGGAGAGAGGAGAAAGAGGTAGAATGTAACGAAAAGAAACCCAGATCAAGTGGATGGATGGTAAGATGGGATTGAACAGCAATAGTTCACGTCACTACTCTTTTGCTTTCGTCCACATTTAAGGCTCAGCTTCGATACTAAACGTACAATGCTCAAGTTTTGCCTCCTTTCTTCGTCAGGGAAGTCTCCACACGACTACCCTGATTGCTACTCCTGAATGCAAACGACATACTATGAATGGTTAAATCTGTGGCGACTCCCTACGGAAGGCACAAGAAGAGGACGCATCTTCCAGCACTGCCTTGGTTACGCATTAGGCAGAAAAAAATTACAGAGCTGTCTGTGGTGCCTGCTTGGAATTCGTTGGAACACAGATGGACAGAATGGACATTAGTAAGTAACACTGTGAGAAGGGAGGGTGGACGTAGAAGCCCCTTTACAGGCAAGTTACTCAACTCCTATGCCTTAAGGCTAGTGCCTCCATGACTGGAGATGGAGGACCGAGACCCAGATTCAATGTAACTGAAAAGGGGTATCAGTGATGCTACCGCCAAGTATCAACCAGTTCCATGAAAATTCAATGACTGGCGCGGATGATTCGTAAACGCCTTTCCTATAGTATCGACAAC